TCCATACTAATATTATAAAAAGGAAAGATTTGATTTGTTTGTTTGTTCCTTTGTTCTGAATAGGCTCCGAAACTACTGAACCGATTTAGATGAATTTTGGTAACAAGATAGTTTGAGATCATGGGAAGGACATAGGATATTATATTTTGTTATGTTTTTATCCCGGAAATCATCCATTAAGGGGGTGAAAATGAGGATGAAAATTTGTATGGGGAATCAACCTAGGGACGAACCCGAACGATCTCGGGTTAGTCGCTAATGTAAAATATTTTTATTCAACTATTTTTACTTAGATGTTTTCTACTGTAGCAATTATTTCTATTCTCATTTAAAAATCTAAGCATATATACGTGCATTATATGTATTTTTGAAACTTGATATCATTTTAGTAATGTATTTTTGTTACAGGGCGAAGAAGAAATACAGATAACACATAAACTTTTCCGACCAGCCACATCAACCACGTAAGAAAAATATTGTTTACTAATTTACACAGTAGGTATATAATAGTAGTAGTTTCCTACAACTTCAAAAACATATTTTCTATATATTTTTACGTACATAATTTAGTACATTAATATGATGTAACTATAATTTCAAAAGAATCAAAAACTATTGTGGGAAACAACTCTTTTAACTTATGATAGCTTCCATCCACAACCAAAAAATTCAGAAATTTACTTTTTCGACTCAAGAGCTTTTTAAATCCTAAAATATGATTTTTAAACATGTTGTTTGACATTTTCCCGAACTCGAGACAGTCGTTGAATCACAGCATCGCATACAGACTTACCATATTTACAATATTTACGCGCATTTATGTGTATTTATGTTAGTCGCGTAAATATGTGCGGGGGAGAGATCCCTAGTCGCGGTAATTATTGCGTGACTTATTGGCGAGAAGATAACACGTACTTTACTACCAAATTATCAAGACCTCCAATTCCAAGATTAACAACATTTGTATTACTTATATTTATTCTCCATTGCTATAACATAATAATACTTACAATTAATTGAAATAAAAATGATACAATCACAACTATATGTACAATACGCTAATATGGACACTTAAATAGTCTGATTTGTATTTCATAATTTAAAACGTTATTTAAATTAAAAAAAAGCTAATAATAAATAAGTTATTTACAAAATAACAAATTGAAGCTTTAATACATTATATTATAAAGGATCATGATTTAATCCACATAAAAACGATGTTAACTAAACAGAACAAAATTTACTCACGCATACGGTTTCCTATAACATTAATATTACAGGTCTTAACATAATGGTCGCGATGTAAACCGCTTGGAGGGTTGAAGCTTTATCTCTTGCAGCTTGATCGTGACTCCCCGAAAGATTTCTGTAATTACACTGATTATGAGAACGATCGTGTTACTTGCATTGCTCTTATACAAAACTAGCATTGACCGCGGCTCTGCCCTCGTTCAGATGACCAAAAACCAAATTAGGTTTTACATATAATTAGTATACTCTTACAATACAGTTTTTGTATTTTTTCTCAGAAATTAGATATTTTCCGCGGTAAAAAGTATCCTATATGTTAACCCGGATAATCAGCTATGACCGTACCAAATTTTATCAAAATCCGTCCAGTAGTTTTTCTGTGATGCGGTAACAGACAGACAAACAAACAGACAAAAATTCTAAAAACTATAGATTCGGCCTCTGTATCGATAATAATGTCTATTTCAATAAGATTTTCTAAAAAATATTTAATGTACAGATTCGATTTAGTTACAATTTTATTATATGTATAGATTAATACTATGTAAGATTTGAATTAGGAAAAAGTTTTTTTTTTCGAAAAAATGAAATGAAATCTATAGATATGTATAATAAAATTCTAACTGGGTTTATCTGTACATCACATATTTTTTGGAAAATCTTATTAAAATAGTTATTATTATCGATGCAGAGGCCGGATCTATAGTTTTTAGAATTTTTCATCTGTCTCTCTTGGAACGCATCACGAAAAATTCCCTGGACAGATTTTGATGAAATTTTGGGTAATATCTGGTTATCCAGGTCAACATATACGATAATTTTTAAAGCAGAAAAATATCTCTGTTTTGAGAAATCTATACTAACCGTTAATCTATATAGCTCTTATAAATAATTCTCTTTAATGTACTAAGAATACGAAGTAATAAATAATACGGAACTTAAGTTTAAATAAAAACTGGTTAAATATTTTCTTAAAAAGCGCATATTTAAAATTTTAAATGAAACTTTCTTTTCTAATAGTTAGATTTTGTTGCGGTTTTATTTTGTACTTGTGGCTCACCCTGGCTTCGCTCGGGTTCGTTCCTAGATACGTTTTAACGGTTAGTAAAGAATAGTTAGACTATATATACAAACGTATAGAAAAGTAGGTACTTTCAAAAACTTGAAATCATCCCCTATTTTACCTTGATTGCTCATAAACGCCGAAATATTCTTTATTTCTTATTAAACTGCCTCGGTGGTGTAGTGGCTAGCAAGTACGGCTGCACATCGAGAGGTCCCGGGTTCGAGTCCTGGGTCGAGCTAAGTTTAGTTATTGAATCAGTAACAGCCCGGAGTTGGGAAGTTGGCGATGTTTCACCCCCGTGCCTCGGAGAGCACGTAAAGCCGTTGGTCCTGCGCCTTAACTTTCACCGGTCGTGTCGAGCAGTCGTCCCACCGACATTTATATGCAAGTAATATAATATACAGCGTGAAATGTTTTATTGATTTAAAAAAAGTCTTGTTACAAAGGCTGCATGAGCTTTCGGGTACGTATAACCTGTGTTACTGGATACCCCACTCAACCACCGGGACAATTTAAAAATAAATAAATAATAAAAATCAATAATAATAATTTACAATAATTTACTACTTAAAAATATTGAATATCTATTCATATGTTAAATAAATACCAATAGGTATCAGTTTATCATTTTCTCTTTGCATTTTAAAATCATGACAATTTCATCAATAAACGTTGTTGGTCTTCCAATATTAGTTACTTCTTATACGGTATAAAAATTTATTAACAGAAAAATCAACAATCTATTTTCAATATTATATTTCTACCTATTATCATTTGAAACTATAAAAACTAATGGTGTTTTAATTTGTGTAACAAATAATGAAAATAAAATATTGACGTGAATTTTCAAATTTGTTTAAAAGCTTTTGGCACTCTCTATTGGCATAGCAAAAGCTAGAGATGCGAGTAAGCTTTTAAGCCAAACATTGCAACTTAAAATGTAAATAATGTTATTGTTTGTGACACAATAAAACTAGAAACTATGACTATTACATAGCATGTTTATTACCTTTGTCGTCTATTTTACGAAAATATATACATATGTATGTATATTTAGATATTGTTTTTTTTTATATTTTCACTCAAAATTTAAAGTTATTTCACTGTTAAATCCCTAAAATTCATTTTTTTTATATAATGGAACAGTAGGCTAGAATCCATACATCGGCACGATTTGCTAATTCCGTTATTTTTGTAGTAGTTTATAATATGTACGTACATCACAAATTGCTTTATTTTAATTATCTGTTTAACTTTATAATGAAATTACATAAATTATTTAACAGAAGAAATATTCTACATAATTCTTTATAGCCATTCGATCTCGATGCAGTTCCAATCCCATCATTTGATGGCCCATCAATGGTCCATCAAGTGGCGGATGCGATAATTCTTCTATGACTGGCTAAGAATTTGGTTTTTGATCTGAACGCGGGCGGAGCCGCGTCCAATGCTAGTTTTAACATATAACATATTATAAATATAACATACCATATTTATTCTTCGTGATTTATGATTCACAGCACATATATATGTAAACCGAAGGATATTCGAGACAAACATTAAGAGATAACCCACTTGTAAAAACGTACCGCCATCATTGGCCTACCATCCTTTGATGTGAGGCATATTGGGCCAGCACGATTGGCCATCGAGTAGAGGAGCTATAAAATTAATCACTAATTAGTTTATAATATATGTATTTTTCTTTATATACACAAAAAATATATTTTTTTAACAAATTTTATATGAACCAGTTTCATACGATGATATATGTGTAAAGTAACAAATAGTCAAAATAATAAAAATATATTTGATGCTACCTATGAAAGCACTGTACTTATACTACGCATTAGGTACCTCAAAAAATTGGTTTATTAATAGCAAAGTATACCGCGAACAATAAATATTGTTAATAAGAGAACAAGTACTTGAAAAACTTTTTTAAAATCAATATTGTTAAAGTTTCCTCGAAATTTTGAGTTACTTCCTTATTCTGAAGTTATAAAATCCGAAAATCTCTTGTTAAAGGCAAAAACTTCAGTTGTAGATTTGATTAACACAATAATACGAAACGTTAGTTAGGCTATAACGCTCAAACAAAGTAAATGAAAATACTTAACCTTGTTGGGAAGTTTGATCCAATAAAACAAAGTTTCGAACAAACGAATGCATTAAAGTCACCCGCAAACTGATCCAATCGTAATATCACACTTCCAGACATCGAAAGTTAGTATGCATTGACTTTGAAAAGTCGTCCAAAACTAAGTTGGGTTATGTTTATGAAACTATTCGGTTGCGGGTGTGTGCTGCCGATACACATGCAAGAACTCGCGCCCAACTCTAGGCATAGTTCGCTAAGTGGAACAGCTGTAAAACAAAGTAGCGAAGGGTCTAGGAACTTAGTGTGTACGTTGGCAACTATTCGGGGCCCCGAACAGTGAACACATGTCCTCCGAAGGCGCGGCCGTACGGTGCGACACGCGGCACAGTCGCCGCGGCGCGTCGTCACTTCGCAACTTTGACAGTTTAATACGGGAAGCAGGGACGCGGCCGACGACCGCGGCCGATTTATAAATAAGTTAAACTAGGTTTAACAAAGTATTGCGGAGGATGATAACGAAGCGACGCCTACTCCCCGCCCCTCCCTCCCGCTCGCGCTGCGTGCAGATAAACTTTTAAAATGACTTTGGAAGCTTTTGAGCTTTTAATCGGCAAAGTTGTACAGACAGACAGTTCGGGTACAATCCTTGAACCGCTTGCGCCGGCGACGGCGGCCGCAAAACTTTGTTTTACAGGACTACTTTTCTTCTTGTTTCAAGGTTGGACTCTTAAAACAAACTCCGGTTCGACGGAGTTCGTGAACTCGGGCGCCAACAATTTACAAATTTCTCTCTTTCATAACAACTAACTGCCGCTCGGCGCGCGGCGAAAGTTGTCCTGCGTAGATCTTAATCGCATTGTCTGTTGCGCTCGCGGCTCGAACAGCTGATTATGACGACACAGTTTATTGAACTTTTGCATTAATACATGATATATCAATGTTTTACATTTATAATTGAAACCTATATTAAAGTAATAATAAGTATTATATTAATATTTCATACGAAATTTCTAGGAAGCATAAATAGTTAAAAAAATGTGTTAAAAAAATGGTATTACGTTGAAATAAACGTCGATCTGCACCCTCTCAGTCATTTATTCAATTTACTTAAGTGAAACTGATAGCACGACTGCGGTCAAAAAAACTCGTCTGCCAAATTTGACGACGCCCCCAGCGACCGGCGGCGACTTGTTTTTTCAGTTCATGCCTCACCTGCCAGGGGCATCTAAAGTGATGTCGCGTGAAAAACACTGATTGGCTTTTAATCTAATCGCTTTTTTTACCACCTCGGACTTTTAATAGCATGAACGGTCAATTTTTCTCCGTTTGTTACGTGATATCATTCCAATTTCATAGAAGAAAAGCACTACAAATTTTGCTGAAAGAACAATTTCATAGGTACATAAATTTAAATTAAGTATTTCTTTACATAAAAGCAAGCTAAAATGCAGGTATATATTGGGTATTGCGCGTAAATTTTACGTAACTAGAAATAAATAGGTTGCGGGTGTGTGGGGCGGGGCGGCGTGGGCGCGGCGTGCGCGCGCATCCGCAGCGTTCCTCCCGCGCGACCTGTGCTCGGCCTTTGCATAGTCCGCGAATCGCGCACCACGAACGAACGCCGCGGAGTTAACTCCGCTACATTTCACTCTCCGCCGCTCGCCGTACGTACTACGGATAAACTTTTACAAGTAGCGCTACGCGGTGCTACACGTTTTGTAGACGCTACGAACGAATATAAATAAACGCTACAAATTGGCGTAAATTTTGTGCAGTGTATTTTTTCCGATTTTAGTGAACTCGTGTTTAGTAAAACTTTTGTGCGTGATGAGGGATCGTCCCTCCTTTTTATAACGATGTCGGCCCTCGTCCGACCCGTTTGGTAAGTTTGATAATATTGTTTCGAAATTGTTTACGTAATAAAATTTTCTCTCTTATTTCGACGTGTCCGACACTTTCTTCGAAAATGCATGACGGATTTATTTCAGCAGTGAAATCGTCGTTAACGGAGTGTTCAAGATTTAAATTAAACGTTTACGCACAAATCCCACGCTTGTAAAACCATTTCACGAAATGCTTTCAAATGTTTAATGTGACAAAATAGAAAGTATAACTAACTTCTGCATATAATTAACTAACTTTCAGTAAATGAGAATAATTTGATTGTTTAATATGCTAAATATTCCATGCTCATTTAGCATATCTACCTAATTTTGCGGTAATTGAATCACGGTTAAGCGCAAGTCGTCAAATAACCGCGACATTAGGCTGCTGAGGGAATACGTAATCACGCGACGTTTAACGCTGTAGCAAATCTTTACATACGAGCTTCTCTATTTAAACAGCGATTTACATACGAGATTAATTTGTACTATTTAATAAATTATAATTTAAATGTTTAAGTTTTTTATATTATTAAACTTATTTAGAATTTCTGACAATGTGATAATAAAAACTTTAAAACTAAAATCAAACTGTTATCTAACAACTGAATTTTAAGAGTACCTATTATTTTAGCTTAATTGTGAACAAATTCACAACTAAAATAACTAAAATTCTTTAAGCAGTTTGTTACAAAAAAAGTGTACTGCTAGATATATCATTTTTAGCATGCCCACGATTTAAATATTGAAATAAAATACGATACAAAAAAGATTTCAAATTTAACCAACGTATCATTATACATTGGAAAAAAATATCTGCATATATACATTAATTGTTATACAATTTTAAATTCTGGTGATTCGTTATTTAACCATCATATAAATATGGCGAAATCTTATTATGTATTGATATATGTATCTATTTTTTGTATAATATAAATTATAGCTAATAATATTTAAATATAAATAATTATTATTATTATCATAATAATAATTATAATCTTTATTCATAATAACAAACAGTGTAGTGTATAGAAATTTACAAATTATTTATTTTAATTCTAATTCTAAAACAACAATTAAAATATTGAATGAGATGCTGTTTCTCAGCTATCTAGCGAGCTTGTTAAGTTATGTTAAAGATTACATTGCCGATCTATTGAGTGTCTCTATTAATACCGTATACAATGTATCGTTTTTCGCTTCTATTCTACATAAACTAGTTATAAATATTTGTTTAAATAAACTTCAATTTTAAGCCTCAATCATCAATTTTAAACTTTCCCGTGAGCAGTCTCCCCCGTGGCCATGATTGCTCTAAAGCATTCGAAACTTCGGAAACCAAAAATCAAAATAAATCCGCGAAATAATCGGTAAAAGATAGTTTTATTTAAAACTTATATGACTTTTTACAAAATTTTGATGACAATAGAAATGGATTTACAATACGACCAACATACAGAAAAATTACTATAATCACATAAAATAACCTAGTATATTATAAATAAACCTATCAACAAAACAGAAAAAAAACAACAATTGTAATTACTTTATTAAACGTAGCTTACTAAGTACTACACTCTTTTTCAACTACAGTTAAGTGTACACAAAAAATATAGATATGCTTCAAATATAACCAGTTTAATAAATATTGCATAAAATATAACAAAAGAAGTTCCCTACATTACTCAATTACATATTGAACATAGCTTATATTGCCAAAAATAAAACAACATGCTTTAAAAATGCAATATTCATCCACATCTACTCTAAAAATTTCGAAATACAGAATAATTTGACACAATTCTCGTTTGCTAGACGGCCCGCGTGTAATCGTTTAACACAGGTAGGGTTGCCACTAAACGGATTTCACGTGTGTTGATCTGATAAGCGCTCAAATTGTTTCCACTGAAGCCGCTGAAGCTATCAGATGGGACAGCGGCCCAGACAGTTAATTGTGGTTTATTTCGCACACAAATGTCGAGTAAAGCGTTTATTCTGTCGAGTGAACCATTTTATTTGCACAACAATTTATCTTGTGCTACAGCGGTTATAAGTACAATGTTTTTATCAACATTTAAATGAAAAAAATGATTTTAAAATTTGAATTAGATACTTTTTTAGAATAGCTTTGGCCTCATAATTTTTTTACAATACATTTATAAAGACATTTAAATGCTATATTATTTATTTTCAAACGAAATTAAATTACGATTCTGTGTTTTTTGGTTATTTTACTGATAATAATTAAGTGCTTTACATACTATAGGACTTATAGAACTTTATAACGTCATGTGATATTGCTTATTTCGACATACTTTACTATTACAATTTATCTAAAATAATAAAAGCTATAAATATAAGTAAATATATACCTAATATGAAGAAATATTTAAAATTATACTTCTGTTATTTATTTGCATATCAAAGTCAAATACATATTTCATCTGATATATAGTTTGAATGCACTTTTATTAGCTTTTCACTTATTTCTACACAATAGACTCGTAAATATAAAACTCGATAATTATATAATATCATTCTTTTATGAAGTTATAATATACTAGCGGCTCACCCTCGCTTCGCTCGAGTTCTTCCTTAGGTACGTTTTATTACGAATAGATATAAACAGTTAGCCAGCGCTATATAATTTTTATTTTATTTATTTTTTTAATTGCGTATTTTTCTACTGTTATTCTGCTATTCAGAGTGGAGACAAATCGACCAAATCAAAGATCTTAGAAATCGGTCCACCGTTTTTGAGTTATAAATGGTGTCACTAACCCGACTTTTTTTGAATATAGATTATTTAGTTTGCCTTACTTGAATTTGGAAATTTTAAATAACAAACACATGAATCCTTATAATAAGATAAACGACTTCAGAGACGTAAAATAGCAAAAGAACATTTACACTGTTAAAATCATAAGTCTTTTGGTTTTACTGTACTCGAATAAAAACACGGTAGAACGTACCCGCGAGGGTCCGACACACGATACCCTCGCAACGAGTGCACCCTCCACGTAGGGCTGCGAATTACTCGGAACAAAATATTATTATATATTTTTTTATTAAAATTAAATAAGAATAATCGATAATATTTAGGAATCATGAAATATAATAAACAAAGCAGAGAACATTTCTAATTATTATGTATTATATCAAATACAAAATATTACTTGTATTATATTCATTCAGTACATGTACTGTGATTGCATAAGGCCAATTATAATAATGCTTTGGGGGGTTTTATTTCTTTGTAATCGAATACTTAATCTTTAACTTCGCTAAACCTCCATCCCTTCCATTTATTTGCAGCGCACAGTAAAGTGGTATAAATGGATAAAATATGTACATTTAAAGAAATAAAAAATATAAGTCATATTATGCCGTAAAACTGACATGTTTCGGAAATATTTGAAAGTAAAGATCCCCGTCATATGTAAACAATAACAATAGGGAAGGGTTATATAATTGTAAAAAATCCAGGTCCAAAAGACTAAAATTTAGTATAAAATTGTTTTTTTTAAAATATCATACCGATACGGACAATTTAAACCCTCTCCATTTCGTGCGCTTAGCGTGACGTCATAGTATGATATACACAGAAAAATGACAACTCAATTAGTACCGAACAAAATCGATAATCGCTGTGTTATGATAAACTCTGACGACATATTCGGTTTGACCAATGGCGTTCGTTTTAATTACTTTGAATTTCCCACCTTCAGTTGCAGTTTTTAGTAATTATTTTCTTAATCAAAAAGAAATTACATTAAAAGTAATAAATATTATAAAAAAATATTTCACCTTTATTTAAATCACACGCGTATTCCCTATTATTGAATAATAATATAATTATATTCCCTATTATTAAATAATAATATTAATAGTTTCAAAGTCCTCAAATGGCGATCTATAGCTCAAAATATCTTAGAAACGTGACACCTTAGAGTATCATATTGCTGATATTTTTAGTTTCTCTGGGTGCTCTATTCATAAACTCTAGTCTTGTCGTGCATTTTTTCTTTTGAAAAATAAATAAAATAACTTGAAGAAATGGAAGAAAAATGATCGAAGCACTTCAGATTCAGTCTGTTATTAAAACTTTCTTTTGCTTATCTGTTTCCCTGATTGCGATTCCAGTGTAAATAAATGGACTTTTTCTGTTATGTTAAACGAAAGAAAATGCTGCCACGGATGATAACAAAAAAAAATATTATCTACAAAACATTTTCTTCTGTACGTCAACTACAAAAACCTTAATCCCCCAATCTCCCAAGTTATGAACCTAAATATATTTAAATAGTAACACATTTGTAAAATACAGGGCCAAATTGCACCGCAGTGAAGCTAAAGCTGTCGCTAGTATTATTGTATTGTGTACGTATCTGTGATTCATTGTAAAAATGTATCATTTTTGTTACAGTTACTAGTTATTGACGTATTAGGGCATCGTAGCGCCTTCAGAATATTGTGTTGTTTAAAAAAAAGATATCAGCAATACATATATCCTATATTTGAGATGTAGCAAAAGCTTACCGAATAGTTTTTACAATTTCTGGTATATCTTTCGAGAACATGTGAAACCTTTAAAAATAGGCATAACTTATTCTGATTAATTATAAAAAATATTCGAATATTTATCTATAAGCACTTCAATTTTACTAAAAAGTAGAAAATTACTTAAATTGATCAAAATAACAATATATATCAAAATAAAAATTGGTCAAAAATGTTAATAACGATAAGTGTACGATGTACAGTGTACACCCCTATGTCATTCCGTAGAGGGGTTAAACTCGTAGCGCGTGTTCGCACAGTGCACCAAGCTCGGTACCATGCCATTACCCTACTTATAAGCTATAACTATTGATTGTTAGATAGTGTTTTCTTATTTTATTTTATTGTTAATCTTGGATTTACATACTAAGTTTCAGTAGTTTATATTTTCTTTTATTATTTCATATTACATAGTAAGAGATAGGCTTTTATTATTTTGTCAAATATTATTATTACAAATGTTAGGTACTTACTACTTACTACTCGATTTTTTTTAATTTACGGGAATATATAACCCAAAGGCAACGCATTTAATGTCCCGAGGTAATAAACCTATGACAGTAACCAATAATAATAATCAATATAATAAATAACCTAATAATAACACACTTGTACGCAATTCGTTACTCTGCTGCCCTTTAAAACTAAAAACTAAAAACTAAAAACCAATACATTTCTAATATAAGACTAACTCAAGTACTAAAATAAGTAAATAACTACACACGCCATTTTAAAATTTATTCGTTATATCCATTACCCGCCAATTTATTGTGAAAAGTCAATGAAAAGAATGTTCATTTATTGTCTGATACATTTTTGGGCCTTTTGTTCTTTGCAGTCGATAAGTACTTTCATGAAAATGCGATGTTGAACCAACCCTATCTTATTTCTCTGAGGGGTAGCGCGCATTGCTACTCACGATGCACCGCGCTCGGTACCATTACCCCAGTTATAAACTGAGTTCAACTATTGCGATATTGATTTTAAAACTCGCATGTTACTTTGTTAATTTAAATCGGACGTTTTTAAATATAATTTGTTGTAAATATACTAATATGCCAATTGCCAAGCCTATCTTATTTCAAATATATATAACAATTTGGAGCGATTCATACTAAAGAATAAAATATATTTAAACTCATAAGTTTAAATCAAATAAATTCGTTTATGTACTGTAAAATAAACTTTTGAGCATCGAATATGATTTTTTGTAAATTTCATGCAATTAGCATTAATTATTTCTCTACCTATAAATGAATGAATGAAGGAAGCTGTATTTGTTAATTTTAACGCACTTTGGTGCCCATTACTTATTTATTTATTTAGAAAAGCACACTAACAACATACATATTAACATTTATATACACGTAGAGGACAAAAAAATAATTAATCAGATATGTATGTCTTTTCAAGTGTACATAACATTCGCTGTAATTACTTAATCAAAAGTATATATAATTAATAAATACAATTAAATTCAATAAAAAATATTCTTAACTGTCAGCTATACCTACTAATTAATTTAAATAATGAACTACATTAATCCTTTACTAATAAATACCATACAAATAATTAAAAAAAATGGTTTATCACTAATGACGATGAGCTCTAAAGCTTAATAAAATTACAAACATAATAATAAGTATTTATAATTTTAAGTTTTGTTAAAAGTAAAAGTAAGTATATACAAAAGAACACAGCAAAAATCTTCTATGTGGGATTAATATTTTATTTTAGTTTTTTTTTTTATAAAAAATCAATAGAATTAATTTAAAATACAGTTATTAGGTACATATCTTCAATATCATGACATGGTCCTTATTTTTTTTATTGCAATAGCGGCCTTAAGATTCTACCAATATGTCACAAAATAAACATTTAGATCGAAGTAGAGTAGCCGTACCCCAATGTCCTCGTAAAAATATTGAAAGTGCATTCTAAACATTAACACTACTATTTCTCTTTTAAATTTTGAAAAAAAATGTTTGCTATAATTAATAAATTGACAATTTTGATTATAATTATTGTGATATTGATTTTTAACTCACACTTTACTTTGTTAAAATAAATTAGAGGTAGATTTTAAACAATTTCGAATAAAAATGAATACATTTGTCAGTTTTATTTTGGCTCCATTGATACAATATAAACTGCTTGAAATGTATAATCGTTTTAATAACTTGTAAAGAAAAAACATTTTGTCTGTCAAAAAATCTTCAAAAAGATATCTCAGTACAATTAAAGTTAACGATTTTGATTACACGTTCTAATCTTTCCTCATCTCCTTTTAAGTACGACAAAATTTTGTCTAGTTATCAGTTTGCGCCAGTTGTATTAGCTATAAACTTAAGTTTCCGCTAAAGGCTAAAGCCATTAAACGGCGAACTCAATTCGGGGCTCAGATCAAATTGGAGGAGTATTTATCTTCCAGGGAGTCGATTTAAAAGCAGAATCACGCAAGCACACGCCATTATCGCGAGCGCGCGATCCTCAGGCCGCGCCAACTCTATGAATCTAATCCACGGGATTTAGCTTCTGATTTACAGCCGAGCCGAGCCAACGAGGGCGCGACTGCTCGAAAGAAAAGTGATAATGTCTTAATCCTACCACACTCGAGTGTTCTCCCTCCAATTTTATGGTCGCGCGCCCAGACGGCACATTTTGATTTATGATTTCAATAATTAAGAATTCTAAGGTGCAATTTGAATTTGAGCCACGATACGGGGACTGCGGGAGGCCTGCCTGTTTGTTATTGCCGCGGGGCGAGAAAGGGTCGCGGGTCCCACGGCTTACCTTTCATTTTCTGAGGAATTATAATAGAGTTTCAAGAAACGACGGCGACTTATAAGACCCACAAGAGGCTTGCCTACTGAAATTTTTGATTCCAAAATCAAATTCACCTCGAGGATTATGATGTTATTATGTTAAAAAAAATAAAAGTGGCAAAACATCTAAATTCGAAATAATCATAAAATAATTTACCACCTAAACTTTATGTACATACATATACTCTGACGTCCTTTACGTCTCAGTCTCTACATGTAATCCTTGCTGCGCAATATAAACCGGTTGCCCTTATATCGCGCCCTAATCTCAAGGCATTACAATTAACGCGGCCCAAGATAACCCGCCACTCGCCACCCGCTGATAAAGGGTTCTACTGGTACTAGTTTAAACTGGTTAAGCATCCACCGCCCTAAGGGTTTATCTAATTACCCTATACTAACACACGCGTTTTCACAAACGTAGATTCGTGTATTTCTATACTCTTGGTCCATTCAAAATCGGTTCACGTTTTGGGTTATCTTACATTCCCCGTGACTCAGAGTATGTCACGTACGCAAATGTTTGTCGGCGTATTGGTATTGATATTTCGGCCTCCCGAAGTCCCTTCTATCGCCAAGAACCATCAATTTCCGAATAAGTACGAGTCCAGTGCGTAGGTACAATTTAAAATTAATATTTTATATACTAATAGGAAATAGAATTATTTTAATCACAATTACGCTATACAAAAGATATGTACCTATACAATCTTTATTAGGAAATACGGAAATAAGTAATTAATGTTTCTAGAAAGATAAGTAGTAAAATAAAAATAAACGTGATGGCTCTATCTAACTATAGTTTTTTTTTTTATAAATTGGTTTTGGTTGTGTGACAGTGTGGATATATTAAAGTTTTTTTTTAATTTGATCTTAATTGAGCTTATTTTTAGGTTTGCCACACTCTTTTTATATTATTTATCTTTGTTTCGAAATTATCCTTTAGTAGCAAAGCCACATATCAAATATATTATAAAAATATATAAAAATCGTAGATTCAAATATAAATATCCATAAACAAAATAACGAATCAAGTATATTTTATAATTTAAACTTATAATAAAAAATAAAATATATAATTTTATGTTCAAGGATAAATACGTTTTACAAAAGCACTAAATACATTTCGGAATTTGTATAAAATAAAAAACAGAAGCTGATAACACTACATAAAATAAAAAAATATTTTTTTCTACCACAAGTGGTGTGTTCAAACAAAAGTACTAATAAAACGTTTTTATATGATATAAAATCTTTTTTTATAAACTAACTTTAGTAACAACTTGTCATACAACCTACATGTCAAGATAAAACTTCTCTTTAAACTTTTTCAAAACTTTAGTTTTCTTTCTATCGGTGATACAAAATATTGATAGTTAAAATTTTATAGCTAAGATACATTTAAAGACATAGTTTTTACGAAACGTAGAAGTTAATTCAGATTGATTTGCGTGGTGCGTTTAAATTATATATTTTATTAAAATAATATTTACATAATTGGCTTACAACGCGCAAAAGCGACGACTTGAAGATTAAAATTTTTAATATGTAGATATATACATTAGAATTCATTGCAATTGTTATCTTCTTCTGTATTAATTATTTATTTACCTTTATAAAATTAATTGGTCTGAAAGCTCTTGAGTGAAATGGTTTTTACGTGGGAACGATTTTTGTGCATTTAAAATTAAATATAAAGTGATAAAAATGTGATGACGTCGACTGGAATCGCCGAGAATCATTTCCGCGTAAAAATATTTTGGTTGTGGATGGAAAATCGAATCGCAAGTACACTATTTCTTTATCTTTGTGGATGTTATTGTTATTTCACGTGGGAAATGAGTCTGATGGAACTATTTGTTCCAGGACGGCGCCGCTGAATACTCACCCGACGCTGTCGCAGATTAATAAACGTCGATTGGAGTTCGGAGTAGATATAGAAACGTTCAGACGGCAAGATAGAATCGAAATCGAAGCGTCAATGGAGGATGATATAGCGGGTAAAAGACGAAGGCGGCTACTTGACGACGATAGACGAGATGAAACGGACCCATATCGTAATTTTACGACACATCGAACTAATATCCTAAGGCATCCGACCGAAGAAGAAGAAGCTTTACTACAAAAAACACAAAATGCTTTAAGAAACCTTAGTAATTGGCCTCGTGACCAAGTTTCGTCCATGCCTAATGGTGATGACAACGAAGATGCAAATGATTTTGACAATCTTTTTAATGACAAAAGATCGGAAAAAATGTTGCCATCTTCCCCCTCTCAATCATCTGACAGCGCAGATCATTCACAAAGAAGTTTTGCAATACGTAATCAAAATGAAATACCTCAAATACATGTCTATGAAAAAGTAGATCCTGAAGAAAATTCCCAAAGAACCCTAAAAATGGAGAAAGAAAATAGTATAGACCATTATGATAAAGTTGATAAAAGTCCAAATCACTATGATGCTCCCAATTTTGATGAACTAGTTGATTCATCTTCAAATGAATTAGAAATTGACATGTCCGACCGCATTGATGACAAATATGATGACGACAGGGAAACTAAAAAAAGGAAATGTGAAATTCTCACAGTCAATAAACAATCTCTATATAATGCATATAAAGCTGCAACGGCATCTTTACCATATTCAACACAATCAGCGTTTAAGCCACCAGCAGAAGTTAAGCACAAAATACATGGATCGTCATTCCCCAGCGAGCCCTTTGGTGGATACTCGAATGATCACGATAAAAGTTCGATACATAAAGGATCCAAACAATACACAGTTTTACAGCCAGCAGGTGCGGGATCACGAGCCGCAACAGCTTTACAAGAAGCTCGTACAGTGCCCTCAGCTCAGCCAGCACGTGATATGCGGCCGCTCAACCCACTTTCTCCTCCGGTTGCCAGAGGTACAAGTCATCTCTGACATCAATTACCAAACTTTCTTAATGATATTATAACCTTCAACTTCGAGTTATGCACAAGTAAAGTTTGTTTCAAGGTCTCACTTAAATTACGATAACAAAGAAAAATGCATGTGGTTTCTTTTAGTTCCCTAATATTAGTCTTACTTTAAAGTATATTAGAAGCAACCATTCATTTTTCTTTTCTTTAAAAGATTTTACAATATATTGAGTTAGAAAACACTTTTACAGAAGAAATGTCCTATTAATTCAATGAGCTATATGTAGTGCTTAAACTCCACCTACGTCAATATCGTACATAATGTATGTAGAGGTTTTCCTCGTATTTTGAGTTTACGTCATGCAATAAAAACGGGTCAGGGGATTGGGCGGGGCGATGTGGTGCCGCCCTACATCTCTTGAAAGAAAAATTGTCAGTCGGACCGCGCAGCCGCCTCACGTTCTTTATTTTTTCTTTTGAGTTACGGAAGGGGTTGGGCCGGAGTGGTGGGCGGCGCTGCGCAGGTACGCCCCGCGGCACGCCCGCTCGTATCGATCGCGCTCCCACGCCCCCACTCGATGATTAACAAAATACTAATTTTCATCGATTTGTCCACAGAAGGCAACAAGTGTCCAACTCCTGGTTGCAATGGGCAGGGCCATGTTACCGGCCTCTATACGCATCACCGAAGGTGAGGTCGATGATTTACATGTCTTTTCAGCTATAGGTTAACATATAATATGATTTGAAGTAATTAAGCTTCATATACATATAGCAGACACTACCCTACCCACTTACTAATTAACTTAACTATCTTTGTCTCAAAATCTATTTAAAAAAACGCTAAGTCGCTTTAATTTTGTCGAATCAAATGGACCAGTAGAAGAAAGACTAGGTATATAGACAATAGACATTACTTATAAAATTGTTTGTTTATCAGTCTGTCAGGATGCCCAAGAAAGGATAAAGTCACACCAGAGAGTAAGTAATGCTTGTATGACACTAATGATATACCTAGGTTTATTTCTATTTTTAGTTTTAATTACTTTTATTTTACGACATGCGTGCACAATTTTGCTATAGTAAAAAAATATTTTTTTCCTATTATTATTTCAGTTATTTTAAATTAAATATCGTAAATAATTTTGTATCTAGCGTGGAATTAGAACCTAATTAATCGCAGATTTCTATATTAATTGCTACTATAATTGTTGGCTTGCTTGTTGTTGAATTATCAAAATTTTCTAATTTATTTTAAAACTCATCTTCATGTTTTAAATCTATGTATTTTAAATAAAACATATTGCTTACACATTTAGACAGATGCATTAGAATCTCGACTTAACTTTCAACTAAGAAATTTAGAGCAACACAAACAACTTTGTAACGAGTATCTTTAATGACAGTCTTGGCGTTGCACGAGACAATCTTAAAGTGTCCGACCCCGGGGTGTAACGGTCGTGGTCACGTCAGCTCTAACCGCAGTACACATCGATCCCTCTCAGGCTGTCCAACAGCCGCTGCACGTAAAGCCGCCGCTCGCTCTCAACGAGGAAGACCTCCGGGTAAATACTAAATAGTATAATATAAAAAATCTACTTAAAAATCTTTAATGATAATTAATATTTTAATGATAAATTATCTTTAATGATAAAAATAAATAGCGTACCTACATATGTATGTATATCTTTCCTAAAAATTTTATTAAACATTATTTATATTTGGTAAAATATGATTTGAATTTTCAAAAAAAATGTAAATTGTTTGTTTATTAAAATACACTCGCATAAAATTACGGAATATATGAAGAAAAAAAAATTCAGAATATATGTAATAATAATACTTATTCATATTTTACAGGAAACTTTGTTTCCGATAATGTAGAAGACTTGCATATAAGTCCAACTCGCAATGACCTTGTTTTATCTATCTAGTGCAATTACCACCACCAGCGCCAGCATTAGTGACTGTGCCTCCGGTACCAGCAACTACACCGAGTGAAATAAACGCTTCAAGAGAACGCGAGCGAGCGCCAGCGGCATCGCCGCGTAGTCCCCCCGTGAAACGCGAGGCTCCCGAACTGCTGGTGCCCAAGCGTGAGGCCGCCGAGCCCGAGCGCGACTCCCCCGGCATGGAGACGCGCCACGCCGGCTACGGCGCGCCGCCCGACCAGCGTTCCCCGTATGAACGACCGCCTGATGACCACGTACGGTCTTACAGGTACGTATTTACTATAAATTAATATAAGTTCGAACACCTCAGTTCGATTTCTGTTCCTTAATAATTCTTTAATTAATAAAACGAAAAAAAATGTCTATGCTGTAAGACTTTATTTGGTTAATATTTGAAATTGATGAAAGATTATATATTATTTATCATAGGTTTTTTCAAATATTCAAATGATCCAACATGACATTTGGTAAAATTTTGCTTTAGTCAAATGAATGAGGCTCGATACGGTTACGAGGCGCGATGCTATGAAGGTGCCCCTGCCTTCGAGCGGTATGATCCCGCGCAATGTCCACAAAGACCCTACGGGTGGGAAGAGGAGCGATATCACGACCCTCACCTACCAACTCCAATGAAAACTGACCAATCAGAACAAGAGACCAACTCCGGCCCTATTTATCCTAGGTACGTACTTACATTTAATTAAAATATTGTCACCATTTAAATATTATAAGCCTTCATGTGGTAAACGGGACTTTTCAAAAAATTATATCCATAACTCACTTGTAGAAGTAAATAAAAAATGATCATGAATCGCGAATATTAAAAAATAAGTAGACCGCAAATTGATTAGTCTTTGGGGATTTTCCGACCAGACCAATGTACCATTATGAAGCGAGTGGAGTAGGCGGCGTGGGCGTCAGCGCGATGGGGCCGGGCGTTCCGCCCGGTTTCTCCGCAATCAATCTATCAGTGAAGATAGCAGCTGCACAGGCACAGCGACCTCGCAGCCCCACGCCAAGGGATCCTCGTGATCCACGTCCAGCCATAGATCTTTCCACATCTAATGGTAGTCCACAGGTGAGAATTAGCGAAGTCAAAATATCAACTGAATAAAACATAAAGCCTCTTTGCATAGTTCAAAGCTTAATAAGTATATTTTAGGTTATATAGATTAATAAAATGAAACGCTTAAAATATTCATTAAATACTCGGACTTAAACCGCGGCTTTTAATCTGAGATATAAATTATTACATCGTCTGGGTCTCGATTTTTTCGTAATTAATGACGCCCATTTATGCAACAGGGTCCATATGCATCACCGGTGTACACGAGCGCCGGTGGGGGCAGTGGGGGCGGAGCCCGAAGCAGCCCGCAGCCGGGTGCTTCGCCTCAGCTCACCGCCAGTCCCCAAGTTCCAAGTCCACAGGGCCAGACTCTCGACCTTAGTGTGTCCCGTTTACCACATAGGTGAGGCAATTTGTTTCATTACATCCATATCCATGAAATAATTATTTCTTTATAGCGCTTGTATAATTTGTATATTATTTTTGTTAACAGTCGGAGTTTCCCCGGTGGAGTTTCATACAGCCGAGAATCAACACCAGATAGTGGAGGAAGCCATCCGTACTTAGAAGCTTATCATCGAGACACCGCCGGTAAGATATCAAAAAATTATCTCCTATTTTATGGATTCATAAGTCGTTTATAATTTACTCATGATGGTTTGTTTATTATCACATCATCTTCATCATCATCAAGACAATCACGATTCAAGAGAAACATCAAAAGATCAATACAGATCATTTTCTCACTGAATCTGGTGAAATATAATTTTATTCAAAATTCAAACACAGAATCTTCTCCCCTGTAGCGAAAGATGACGCCATAATACAACTCGTGTAACACAAGCGCCATAAAACATGCCGTACAAATTAAAAGCGACCGCGCTAATCACTCCCGCTAGCATTGTGCACCGCACATTTGCTACATTGCTAATCCTGCTCGGCAGGCGTCTTCGTGTCCCTAGCATATGCGGTTATGCGCGTTCGTATGGAATATACAAATTAATTAAAACTTCAAACAGTTTACTGTAATATTTCATTTCGTCATTCTTATAAAATAAGTTTACGTAACACAAAAGTGTTACGTAAATAATTCGTCTTATTTGTAAAAAATATATATTTAAAAAATCTAACTGATCATCCTTAGCACACGTTTTGACAAATTAAATAATATCTAGTATAATTTAAGTTAGTGAATGTTCTTTAATAACAAATTACATTTTTAACAAAATCTCATTTATATTAAAGGAAATGTTAATAATGTTAAGCATACAATATCAAATACGCGTGTTACTCTATAAGGGTGGCCTTGTGGACTAGACAATTGCCTGATTTCATAAACGTCACCTAAGTTTAAGGGATCCCCTAAGCACAGTTAGGGGGCTGTTAGGGGACAGTTTCTGTTTCACCGTCAGTTAGGGATCACCTAAATGTTAAAATGCCACCTAAATATAGGTACTAGAAATACAGGCTCTGGCGATGGTAAAACGAAAATTAATTTAGGGGCTAGTTTAGGGGACTTTTAAACTAGGGATCCCATACGTAGGTGATAGCTTATGGGTTGTTGGTGAAATCGGGCAAATATCTTTCTGTCGGGACCAAACGCCGCTCTTCATCATTTAAATCAAAGACAACGACCATATATTAAGCCTTTGCACCTCGTTAGATTCGAACCTGACCGAGCACCAACATCTATTATTTACTCATAAGAATAAATCTTTAATCTAGGTTACGGTGGTGTAAGTCCACATCCCGTAGCTGGCTACGGCTTGGCCCAGCCCGACTACGCGGCAGCCGCGGCGGCGGCGGGCTACGGCGGCTACCAGTACCAGTGTGGCGCGTACCCGCCGCCCCCCGCCTACCCGCCGCACGCACCCCCCTACTCACCCCCTTGTTACATGCCGCCGCCACACGCACCGCACGATAAACCTAAGGATAGCAGGTGAATATTACATAGGATATATTTTATGTAGGCCATGTTTAATTCCATAGATGCAGCGGTCCTAACTCCTTTGGTAATTTTGTCATAAATGTTGACGAGTCGCGTACTACAGATTCAATATAAAAAAGGTAAAGTAAATAAAAACAGTGAAAGGATGTTGTTGAATGTTTGATGCTTTTTACGTTTTCTTAGTCTGTCCTCGAACATTGTACTTGACAAAACTTGAGCATTTTTAATATATTTTTTTCATTATACCTATCTATTCCGTTCTTATGATTAAAATCTGAAATTTGTAGTTAATAAATATTTCATAGTTTAACAACGTCAATCGAATGCCTGTTACGTAAATTTTATATATTTTTTACTAAATTTGAATCTACCCGTGAGAGCAGTTTGAAAAAAGTGAGAAGTTCGAAAACTCCACATTCGTTTTCAATCATTTTTTTGCAATGGGGCCCAAAAAGGCTAATTACTCAATTGCCCAAAGGCAGAAGAGTTCAGGCATTCAACTGGAGAACCCTGAAGAACGCTTCAGGCTTTATTTTTGACAGAACTGAAACAGTATTAAAAGTTTATTTGCTTCGTTATTTTATAAAAATAAAACACTATTTCTACTTTTTAAATCTCTTTATCGATTATATGAACTTAATCTCGTAGAAAGGAAATAAATAGGTTACAATGTTCTATAAACTATTTAATTTACTTCTCTTGAATAAAATAAGCCGATAAAATATTATCAATGAACATATTTTTAGTAGAATTATAATTAGATGTTGTTCTTGCCTTATCAACTGAACAGCGAGTAGAGGAAGACATAAAATGTAAACTGTATAAAGTTTGAAAAGTATTTTTGGTATTATTTTTAATTTTAACAATATAAATATTGTAAATATTTAACGTCATTAATATTTAAAAAAATAAATCTTTTCAATAAATGAATCGCATCACGCAAGCAAATCGCAGTGTTGCTATTTCACTCAATCTAATTAAATTATATAAAATATTATTAATTATAAAAAGAATTAAAAAATAGTTCGGTGAGTGATATTAGGTCAATAAGTGATTCAGTAAGTGATATTTTTTCTATGCAAACAAAAACGTTACAAAATACCAAGCAATTGTTTCGGAGTGGGCATTTAGAACGTATCTTATAGCGAAGTCACATTCAATGGATCAGTCTAAATATACCGGCGGCAGCGCGCGCGCACGCCGCGCGTCGGACGACGCTCTACATAAATAGAGATAAGATACACGCACTGAACGTGCCAGAAAATCAACTATGCGACGAAACAGGTGAGATATGAGCTTCAACAATTTTTTAACAGTGAAGAACAAAAAATGACGTAGGATTCACTAAATGAAATTAACAATACACGTGCTAAATAGTTTTATAAACATTTATTGCGTTTACGTAAACAGTAATCGTGCAATACCATATAGTTTACGATAGTTTTTGCCAATGTATAATACGTTAGGTTAATGACTTAATGGCACTCGAATGAAGACACTCATGGCGATAGAATGTAGGCGGAAACTCAATTTTATAATTAGATGTATTCATTACAAATACAATTACGTATACATACGTATTTATTTTTATGTAGAGTTTTTTTTTATTCTATTATTTTGTATATTTACGATAGTTATCACCGTGACGACTTTTACGGAAAGCCGTGTTACCGGATACGAGAATCGAGAGAGCTCATCCAGTGCCCCGTGGAGAGCTGCGATGGCTCCGGTCACATTTCAGGCAACTTCGCCACTCACCGCAGGCAAGCGGCGATGTTTGTCGCATACTGCAATGTTTGCAACCAAACATAATATAATTATTACAATACAATTTGCCATACGTAGTATATGTGTGACAGTTTGTTCCTTTCCACTTTGAACGTTTCCGTCCTCAATTGACTGCGCCCGATTTCGCTGTAAACTAACCGCATGACGAAACTAATATAAAGCGTTTTAGTTTCAGCTTTTGTTTTTAACATTTTATTCTCAATAAAAAATTAATATCAATCATGTTTACTAAAGACTAGTGTTTTAATACAATCAAGTTAGACGGCAAGCCACATATACGTATAGGTGTATATGTATAATGATTATAATATACGAGTATATAAGTAAAAACTTTTGAGTGATCAATTAATAAAGTGACTTGAAATTAGTTAGCTATAGGCTTTCATATAAATGTAAACACATGTCTATAAAATTAAGACGCATAAACTTAACGCTAATTATAGTACAGAAATGCAAACCAGCTCATGAAACTCAACAGATGCTTCACACTTCCGGTTATTTTTATCATTACTGAAAGTGGTTTTACTTTCGAAGAATTCTTTTACAAGTCGACAGCTCAAGAAATATACATATATAGAAAATTTAAACCACATCGCAGTTCCTAATAACTATTTAAAATTTCTATGCAAGCATTTAACAATATAGTTCAGGTACTTATACTACTATTGTGTAGGTACATTACGTAGGTACCATTTATGACGTCAATGTAAATAAACTACGACCATTATTTAGTATTATATTTACATTTTGAATAACTAGTAGTACAAGTAAGTACTTAATTCTGTCATTCTTTTATTAAAAACAATTAGAGGCATGGACATAAAATTGTTATCATTAACCTGAATGCACGATAGCTTTGCCTTTTTGTCGTTTTGGACAAAATTAATTGACATATCTATAATGATATTATTCCAAAAACGTAATTCTTCTTTTTTAAATTCTCGGCTAGTTAAACTTTGATGCACTTGTAAAGTCCTATTAGTAAAGTCTAGAATTTTTTGTGCTTTTCATATAATATATCCATGTGTATTGAAATTCATTTTGGTTAAAGATCTTCGAACTGATCATATTTACATAACTTTGCTTACTTACATAACGTTTTGCTCAGGTCGTTTGATAAGTCGACGTTCGTCGTGAAACGCTTAGAATTTAGATATATCTATTGTAAGTTACCATACGTTACACCTGCACGCCATTGTAAGCAGTTTGTATATGTGCAGCCTGTCGGGTTGTCCGCGCGCCGACCGCTCGCAGCTCCAGCCTCATTCCCAAGAACTCAAGTGTCCGACACCCGGCTGCGACGGATCCGGTCACGTGACCGGCAATTACTCTTCGCACCGATCTCTCTCCGGCTGTCCTAGAGCTAATAAGCCCAAAAGCAAGCCGAGAGACGGACAGGATTCCGAGCCCCTTAGGTGAGTAAAAATATTTGGTGCGATCTTCTTTTAATGAACATTTGAATAATAAATAATTAATAATTTTCGACAAATATCTTGCTTAATCTGATGTGCTCGGATTTTCGATTAGGATATTCGTTAGATTTTTATAAAATAACGATTACAGCAATCATTTTCCTGATTGGAAGGCGTTGTATAATTAAAGACAATAAATATAGCGTCTTAAATAACTAAACACGGCCACGATTTACTGTAGTTACTTAAATAAGTTTCCTTGGTATTTACACGCTGCTTAGATGCCCTATACCGGGCTGTGACGGATCTGGACATGCTACAGGAAAATTCTTATCACATCGAAGGTAAGGTTCATTAAAAAAAGTAGATGTAGATAATCTAATAACGCACGGTGAAACCTGACAGCAATAATATAACAACATACCATTTGTTAAATTATTTTAACATACAAAGTGCATTGTTATTTATGATTATTTGTTGATAAACAAATATTGAACGCAAGATTATATAAATAATGTACTTAACTTATCTATATCCGCTATCAAACTCATTCCAATTTATTAAATCTGATATAAAAGCAATACGTTGAGTATTATTTATAAGTTATTATATTTTTCTGCCGTAGCGCTTCAGGTTGCCCGATCGCCAATCGCAATAAAATGCGAGTACTCGAGAGTGGAGGTACTGTGGAACAACATAAAGCCGCAGTAGCAGCAGCAGCGTCAGCAATAAAATTTGACGGTGTAAATTGCCCCACACCTGGATGTGACGGATCAGGACATATAAATGGGTCTTTTCTAACCCACCGTTCACTCTCCGGGTGTCCGGTCGCTGGAGCTACGACACCTACACCACAACCAAAGAAACCAAAGTATCCAGATGATATCACTCCACTCTACCCTAAACCATATTCAGGTAGGTTGGGTTTACTACCTAATACAATTGATACGGCTATGTTTTAAAAAAGTTATGTAATATGGTAATGGTATTAATAAATAAAATGCAATATAATAATATCCCGTTGACGCATTATAACGTTTTATATTATTCATTATTCATATGATATAAAGCTATTACTGCTTCACGTTGCTATTTTTGCTTTTAAAGGTATGGATATAAATATGCAGACTGGCGGTGGAGAAGATCTGATGACATTAGAGCAAGAAATAACTGAATTGCAACGAGAAAATGCTAAAGTCGAGTCACAAATGATGCGCTTGAAATCTGATATTAATGCAATGGAAACTCATCTAAGCCAAGGAGAAAGAGTAAGTCAAAACATTTTAGAGATGACTCTACCATAAACAATATTTTCTTTTTTACTTATTATCCTTCAAAAATTTAATCTGTATCCAAAATTTATTATATCTTTGTCTGACAACGTAGATGGTACAGTCATGGCTCCAAACCTCCAACTTTGAGTGCTACTAACATCACATGCACTTGTGAGTACCATTTACTTACTATGACATAAAAGATATTCTAAAAATGAGCCGTTCCAAAATTACCACGAAAGCGAGTCATCCCCAGAAAATTTAGCCATAGATACAAATATTGAAGCATTTCAATCTTTCCAGGAGAACCAAATGATTATGCAGAGGACGAGTAATTTTAGCGATTACTACGAAAGTCTGCGCAATAACGTAATAACGTTGTTGGAACATGTCAAGATTCCCGGTGGTGGAAACGCTCCGCCGACCACAGCTCCTGGCACTCCAGGTGCACCTCCACCACCAGGACCAGGCGTGAAACCCGCTCATGAAAACTTCGACTCATATCTAACTAAATTACAAACTCTCTGCTCTCCTGATGGATATTGTCCAGATGAAAACCGGCCCATATACGAAACAGTGAAAAACGCGCTTCAGGACTTTACAGTACTGCCAACACCTATTTAAGACTCACCTAGCGCCGCCGATAAAGACAGACAGTGATCTGAATAAATATTACCGATTGCGATCGGCGGAGCTGCATTAATATTTTTGGACGATTTAGCTATTTACCAAAGGTGTACCTATTAAGACTGTTGACATAAATGTCAAATCGAATACAGTGAACGATATATGTTAGTGTACAGTGTTACCCGTACGAAGGGAACGGAGATTGTGTTCTATTTAGATAATGATGTCTATTTTATAAACCGTTGTATACGATGTGTGACTTCTATAAGACATCACTAACCGATTCGACTATTAATGGTTAAGATGGACATAAAATTAAATTAAAATGAATTTTAAACACTGTTACTCGTATATGCTTATAATAAGTTAATATTAGGAAAAGTTTATACAATTAAATGTAAGCTATTTTAGCCCCACTTCACTGCAAACGGGATGTAACGTGTAAATATGTACGTATTTCATTGATTAGGTATTATGTTATAGATACCAGGCTACAGCCCGAGAGGTCGGTGTATAGAAAAAAGTCACTTTACTGAGAAAAAACTTAATAAGAATATAATATTTAATTACTCTATACGTTTATGTTCATATTGGGAATGTGCCAAATGCTTCAGCAGGAGCACTCGAGCGCTGACGTATTAAGACTATCTATATAGAAATAAACAAACGAAAATAACAAACTTTTAGAAGGCTCTAGTCAGTTTGTAAATAAATTGTGAATACATAGTTGTCACGTCTTAACGACGTTCTTATTTATATTAGAAAATAACGCGATCTCATTAGATCAAGTAAGTTAATTATTCAGTCATTAATTGATAACCAAATTAGGTGTAAATTAATAATTTCTTTGTTAGCCAATGTTCACTCGCTGTGATTATGTTACATGTTACTTATTTATTGTTACCTTTAAGGATGTGATAGCTCAAATCGAGACGGGTTAGCGTTATTTTGCAATGTTTTTTTTTAAAGCGCTTTACTCAGTGCAATTATAGATTTTTTTATGTTAAGGTACGCGATGCTAATGTTTTGTTGAATGTTTTGTAAATTCACTAAAATTCCTCTTTCAATCGCGGTACAATGATCAATAATTATATTCGCATTTAAATATTAAACCTATTACTATGTTACTACTCTGATTGTCATATACGTTTCTGTAAAATATTGAGTATGTGTTGTTAAAAAGAATAAAACTAATAAATACTGAAATATTGCAACTTTTAATTTTTATGAATTTCAATTTTTCTTTTATTTGTAAAGTTTAGGTAAAAAAATGAAATTCATTTATCGGTAAGTAATATATCGTATCTGCTAAATAATTGAAAGTAAGAATAGAATAGAAACTAAAATTACATATATACCTCACCACCTCATCACTCCTTGCTCAGGCCAATTTTCCAATAAAATCTGACTTTGTAGTATTTCCAATATTTCCAAGAAAAGCAGTTAAAATAATACCTACTTACATAATAAATTCCACTACTTAGGCGCATTTAGCACATAAGTAAATGATATACAGAATATTTATTCATGTGTATATAGTACATAATTTCAAACTTACGAAGCATTCGTTCTGGCATAAAAAAACTGAATATTATTAAATTAAATTATTATATCATTGAAATGTTTTATAATAATTAATATATTTAATAAATAAATTACAGCAAAATAATAGTAGCTACTAGCTAAGAAAATAACATTATGAAAAAAAGCGGCAAATCGAATACAGAATACAGATTAATAATACCGATTACAATATTAATGGGGACGACTTCTCGAAACGAGGACGCCCCACGTTTCGCCTATTTAAATTCAGTCTGAGGTTAAGCAATTTCAGCTGATATCTCTTTTATACCTGGTTTTTTGCTTCTATTGTGTTCGCATCTTACCTGTGCAATGTATTGTATCTGGGAGTTAGACCAGCTGAAGGAAGAATTGAGGAGAGGTGCATTCTGCAGTGGTTCTGACTGACTAATAGATCAACACACAACCTAAACCGCTGGTCGTAGAAACGTGATAAACTAAAATTGTATGATGTAGGCATCCAATAATAAAGGATTTTTCGAAATTCATCCCTCTAAATGAGTAAAATAAGTGATTAAAGATCGTATGAAACTCTGTCATTCTTAATGTGAAATACACAGAAAGTAGCTGTAAGATAAAAAATAAGAAGTATATTTATTTCTGTTATTTTTTTTCGAAATTCATCCCTTAAATGGATAAAAGGGGTAATAAAATTTTTATGGGCATAGAATTATTTACGATATAAATGACTTGAAACTTGGTAATCATGCTCTTCAATACAATTAAATAAATACGTCTTTAATTAAGCGTTTTTAGAAATTTAATCCCATAAAAAGGTAAAATCGGGGATAAAAGTTTGTATAAAGCTCTGTAATTAATATGTAAAAGAGTATAAAAAATATTCACCTGTAGACGATTTAAGAATTTTAAAATCACTTTCTTTAAAATGATGTCCACATAGCCTCAATTATAAAGATTGTGATTTCGCCAATTTTGGTCATTTTGGTTTTTGTATTTTGGGAATAAATGATATCAATTTTCTTCGCAGTGCACAATATGTCATTTCAATTAATTTTAAATAAAAAGAAAAAACATCCATCTACGCTTTAAAGCTTTACAATATTCTGAGGGTCATAGTGATTGTGACATCTAGCGGGAGAATGATTTAAAGTAAACATGTGTCAAATAATATGCTGAGGGTGCTTTATTTTAACTTAAAACCAAATAGGATCTGGATAAACCTTTTTTTTATTTTAAACAGCAATTTAAAAAAAATAAACTACATTAATAAAATTTAATTATTTATTTATGAATGAAATGGAACGTGATACGAATGAATATGACAAATGACAATTAATAATCAAAGTCATAAACACATGTCATTTATTTGTAATTTGTATAACATGTGCCATGGATGACAAATAAAAACATGTGCGCTGTAGTTGAATAAAGCTACCTAATAAATTAAAAAAAATATAATAGAATAGAAAATGGTAAGTATATAATTTCTGAAAAAAGTTACAAACGTGATTTAACTTTCATACATAAGTTATAAATGAATCTTTATCATGTTTCAGACCCGATACTACGATACTGAAAGCAATAACGAAAGCAAAAAATCTTTAGATGAACAAGATATAAAAGTTTATAAGATAAAACCAACGTTAAGTTTAATAAAAACTCAAAAACACAAGGTTATTACTTTTTTAATATGTATGTTTTTGTTTTACTTAAATGATTCTCACAGTAATAATTAAATTTTAGGAAAAAAAGGCTCTTCAAATTCAAAAAAATCGATACATAAAACAGAAAAATGAAGTCCAGAAAAAATTCCCGGGTAAAGCACCTATAGACCCAGCCAAGTTAGAAGAACATTCAAGAGGTGAAGGATTTGAGGGAAAAGGTTTAAGACACCCATTATATGCAGTTAAATTGAAAAAGAAAGAAAATAAACATAAATATGCTCAAAAGCAAGCTGCTAGAGCTGATATTCTCTTAACTGAAAATCAAGGGTGAGTAATGCATTCAGAAAATAAGAAAAAATACTTGAGTCAATTTTATTAATATATAGGGTTAATTTCTCATTTATCTTTCTTCATATATACATATAATAACATATGTTTTAGAAAATAATTATTGCATTGGATAACCCTAACATTCTTGTATGTCTGTCTGCTAGTTTTAATGGAAGTGTAGAAAAATATTAACAAATAATTCATTAGTTTTTTAGAAGTTGATGATGACAATAGGACAACAGGAATAACACAAAAAGTAATAGCTGATAATGTAGATATCACTGCAGCTACTAAAATATTTGAGTTAAACTTAGATTTTGGTCCTTATCAAGCTAAATATTCAAGAAATGGCAGACATCTATTGCTTGGTAGTAAAAAAGGACATTTAGCGGCATTTGATTGGGTTACAAAGAAGTTGCACTTTGAGACAAATGTTATGGAATCTATACATGATATCAGGTGAGAATGTCATTATTTCTAGGCTTAATTTGAATATTATTTTAACATATATAGTACAGCACCATCTCCATTTGTAAACTGAATTTAAAACTTTAGGACAATAGTTTTTTCATATCTTTGTGTATTTTTATTTTAGTTGGTTACATATTGAAACAATGTTGGCTGTAGCTCAAAAAGAATGGCTTTATATTTATGACAACACTGGAATGGAGATACATTGTATCAAGAAAATGGATAAGATATTAAAAATGGAATTTCTACCTTACCATTTCCTTTTAGCAGCTGTTGTATGTATTTTATTTAATTTAATTAATTTAGTATTGTGTACAACTAATCTTTATTAATATTATAAAGAGGTAAAGTTTATGAGATTGTGAGTTTGTGATGTTGTAGAGGGTAATCTCTGGATCTACTGAACCGATTTAGTAGTCCCAAGTCCTAGTCTAGTCACCAATACAAAATATTTCTGTCTATAAATTCCATGTTAATATTTAGCTAGAAATTTAATTATATTAATAACTAGCGACTTACCCTTGCTTATGTTTTAATTTTTTGAGCGGAAACCTAATTCTTATTCTAAAATAAAAGTGACCTAAGTTACACCTTATAACATCATATCATATCATATTTGCTAGTGAAATTCCCGTTAAAATCAGTCCAGCCGTTTCGGGGATAAGACAAACAAACAGACAAAATTTTTAAAATTGTGCTTTTTTTTATAACTACTGTATACATATAATTTCATATGCATTTAGTAAAAAGTTTTTATTTCGACATTACAAACAGACACTCCAATTTTATTTATCTGTATACATTAAAGATTGTAATGAAAGATGAGGTTTCATAGAAAATTAGTAACAGCAATTTAAATCACATTGTTTTACAGAATGAATATGGATTTATGTCATGGCTTGACATATCCATAGGTGAAATTGTTGGTCATTACAATAACAACATGGGAAGAAGCTCAGTAATGACACAAAACCCTTATAATGCTACACTATGTTTGGGAAACTCTAAGGGAGTGGTGTCCCTGTGGTCACCGACTGTAAAAAAGCCCTTGGCTAAAATCCTGTGCCATAAAACACCTTTGACGGCAATAGCGGTAGACAATCGTGGCATGTATGTAAATTTGATTGTTTATATATTACATGACACCTTTTTCTTATAAATAAATAAATATAAATATGTTGGGACATTAATTCACAACACCATCTAGTACGAGGCTTGTATTATGTATACTAGATAGTTGATACACTCACTACACATATAACTTTAAATACATACATATTATATACCCATGACTAGAGTACAAACATTCATGCTCATCACACAAATGAATGCCCCCAGTGGGACTCGAACTCGCGACCGCTAACACAGCAAATAGGGTCACTACAAACTGAGCCAAACATGTCTTCGAATTTTCTTATAACATAAATTCAAAGGTGTAGCTAAAAGGTTGTCGGCTTCATCATGCTTATTTATTATTTTTCCACCATTAATAATGGATCATCAACAAACAACTTGATGCACTTGGATAACAGTTTTAATAACTTCTCTTATGCTTTTAATACCTCCTTTTCCTCATTCTTTTTCTGAAAATAGTATATAGAACTCATCTCTACATCTCTTGACATGGTATACTTGATAATATTTTATTGTTATATATATTTTTTAGGTATATGGCAACTTCTGGTGTTGATAGAAGTTTGAAAATATGGGATATAAGAAATTTAGATGGGCCGATACAACATTATAAATTGCGTAGTGCTCCTGTTGATTTGGAATTTTCTCAAAAAGATATGTTAGCTGTGGGTCTTGGGGAAACTATTGAAATATACAGGTATATTTATATGTAATATAACAGCTGTATGATATACTGAGTAAACAAATAAAAAAAATCATTTTAAATAGTAACTTAAAATAATAAATATGGAAGTGTGTTTGTTTGTCTTTCATTCACGTCGAAACAGTGACGGATTGGCGTGTTTTTTTTTTGTGTGGATATGAAAGCTGGAGAGTAACATAGACTACTTTTCATACTTTTCATCAATCCCACGAGAAAACGAGTTATAATGCAACCTACAACAACCCATTGTACTTATGTACATATACATATATAAAATATTAATCTATCTATTCCGAACTAACCTTCAAAAGGTACCCAAGTGAAGCGAGCATGAGTCGCTAGTTGATTATAAATAAAGAACCAAAACACAACTGACTTATATATTTTTTCTCGTTTTCTAGCAACTGCTGTTCACAAACAGCTGACAAGCCCTATCTTAGACACAGAATGGGAAAATCTATAAATAATTTTAAATTCTGCCCCTACGAAGACATCTTAGGAGTTGGTACAAGCAGAGGTTTTACAAGTATTATTGTACCAGGTAAATAAATACATATATTACGAATTTTAAAGGTTCTATTAATTATAATAAAAAAAATCATAAAATGAAAATTTAATTATGTATAAGTTAATGTTATTCTATTTTCTTTTTTTGGATTTTCTATTAATAACTCATGTTTTCAAAGGCAGTGGTGAACCAAACTTTGACGCACTTGAAAGCAATCCATTCCAAAACAAGAAACAAAGGAAAGAGGCTGAAGTTAAAGCCTTACTTGATAAAATTCCTCCTGAACTCATTACTCTCAATCCTCTTGATGTTATGGAAGTTGATGTGCTTTCTTTGAAAGAGAAAATGGAGGCTAAGACGAACCTTCTGGTTTGTATATATATAATTTATATTGCTTTTATTATAAGGCATAAAAGAATGTCATATTTGTTGAATATATATTTTAGATATTTATAATATTTTTCTGGTAATTACAAAAAGTATTTTTAAACTTTTTATATTTAAGTGTTTCCATCAAGAAGATAATAACTTCATTTATCATTAATCTTTATAGGTATTATATGTATGTTTTAAAGTATAAAAGAAATACATATATATAAATTTACAACTCTTTATACTTTCAGTATCTAAAACCTAAGAAAGTTGATTTTACACCAAGACTAAAGAAGAAAGGAAAGACTAACATTGCTAGAAAGAAAATAATAAAGGAGGCTGCAAGAAAGGTATTGCGATATTTAAACTTAAATAAAATTAGAAGAATATAACTCAGCAACTATTGGCCCCATTTTTAAAGATATGTCCTTGGAATGATACCGATATCTTTTTTCTTAATTTAAATGCAGAAGCCATACTTTCTAAATTTCAGCTATTTCAATAGTACTATTAGTCTCCAAGTAAAATGGCTGTCACAGCGAACACAAACATAAAGACATGACGAAATTACAAGCAATCGTTTTTGATTCTTGGCTCCTTAACTCTAACAACCATGTTATTCTGATAAGCCAAAGTAATATTATTAACTATATTTTTATACATACTTTTAATGGTATTTTGCCTTGTTACCTTTTAAATATTAGCCAAAAACTCCAAATTGTATTATTTATACTTGAAATTTACTTGCTTTGCTCGGTTGCGTTCCTAATCATTAGGCAGCTGGAGTAGCACCCAAGCAAAGTATCCTATGTGTTACTCCAGGTCATGGAGTACTCACACTACCCACACAAACTTTCATATCTTTCTATATATAAAACTAAGTCTGAAAGAACTGCTGGACCGATTTTTATGATCATTGTTTTCTTGGATTTGTCTTCACCCTGACAAAATAACTATTAAAACATCAGACAATTTTACGAAAAAAATATTGAAAACTATTCATGAGTTGCTAATTTATTGAAGTATAATATTTTTTCTAATTCTTACAGGAATACATCAATCAAGCCATAGAGGCAAAGAAAATATTAAACGTGCAAGAAAATGAAAGTGAACCTAAACAATCCTTTGGAGTTCTTGACAGATTTGTTTCTAAGCCAAAATCTAAAAAATAAAACATTTATTTTAAAACAAAATCTTTTTTTATTCTTGAGTAACCTTTAATATAAGTATATATAACTTGATTTACATTTTATATATATGCCATGTTAGATTCTCAGTAAAAAATTTCCTCTTATTTACAATAAGTAGTACAAAATTGTCTTACTTCTATGTATGTATATTTATAACAATTTTTCATTTTTAAAAACTAAGGTCAAATTTTACAGTACAGATTATGAATACTTTCCCATGATACCAAAAAGTCTTCATAAATCTTGGCAAATTGATTCATATCTTAAATTGATAACCAAAATGACATAAAAAAATATGCCAGTTATATGAACAAAATACATATCACTAGAAAAATCCTTAAATTATTTGATTTTGTGAGTTTGTTTGGGCTTTCTACCATTCCATTATTCTTGGATCAGTTCCATATGTCTGTCTACACTTGCTTCATTGATAAATTTTTCTTTATATACAGCAAAGACTAATATTTTAAGCCGCATTGACATGCTCAAAGTCTCCTTTGACAAAGTAGCTTTGATCAATGTTTACTTTGATACCAGTTGACACACCATATTATTTAAATTTCATGATCTGACATATATATTGTCAAAATAGAAGTCTACAAGTGTTAAAAAGGAATATCGAATAAGTCACATAATCCTTCAGAATCATGCAATGAGAAATAAAAGTCTTGTCTTGTAACTGGTGGACTCAATCTTAAAAGATAATCTGGAAAAAAAAATACATATAAAAATCTTTGATTATTTCTTATTATTACTTTTAAATGTCTGGCAGCAGTGCCAGTGCACTTATTTTAAGTATTACAGAATAAGCATAAATGCATTTATATATGGAATAAAATATAATTACTTACCATGATCTTGAAACATACTACTTTCTTCATTCTCTGTGTAACTTTGGACTTCTTCATCCATACTATCTTCACTTATTGACTGAAAAACGCAAATATTTCATGTATATTTTATTATTCTGCAACACTCTTTTTAACTACATAAAAACACTCACAAAACAGAATTTTACACAGAACAAATTATCTATACTTACTTTTTCCTTTTGTGTGTCACATAATAATATTGCACCAATAGGTTCACTTGATTTAACATGTAAAAAATAATGCTGTTCTTTTTTCTTTTCCTGCAAATAAATTAAATTCTTATAATTTATTTATCCATATTAAATAATATCATAAATGTGAAAGTTTGTGAATATGGATGTTTATTACCCTTTACACCAAAACGGCTGAACGGATCTGGATGACATTTAACACAGAGATAGATTATAGTCTAGAATAACACAGACTTTTAATCCCGAAAGAATGTATGGTTCCCGTGGGATAGGTTTGTTTTTGTCTTCCTAGAGGAGCACCCTAGTGAAGCAAGCGTGAGCAGATAGTTTATTAGATTAGTTGTAATTGTTTGACTTGCATGTCCAACCATGTGGTCCCTTGATAACAAGAGCATCATAGTATACCTATATACAAATTAGGCAAATTCAAAGTGGCATATTTTTGGTACCGATTTGGGTGTTTAAAAAGATATTTTATTCATAATCATTCTTTCATTGTTTTATAAGGTAATAAAGTAAGGTTTCTCAATAACATATATCTTGTAATTTTATATATATATATATATATATATATATATATATATATATATATATATATATATATATATATATATATATATATATATATATATATATATATATATATATATATATATATATATATTTGTGCTGCATTTAGCTCAAAGATTGTATAATTATTTACCTTATTGGGAATTGCTCCTAATGCTATTTCAGTACCCAATGGAGCTTCTAATACAAAGATTTGACTGTCATCTAGGCATCCTTTAATATCATTTTCTGTTACAAAAGTTAATGCTTCATTCTCTGGGTCATCTAGAATATTTTTAATACTTTGTTCTATCCAGTGCCTTTGCCTAAAACAAGTTTTTTATCATAAATCACATATTCAAAACGAGAAATATACAATTTTCACTATTGGCAAGTTAAGAATTTTAAACATTAACATTTTATTGCAAGAATATACCTACTTATCTAATAACTCTTCATGTTCCTCTAATAAAGTTATTTGTTTTCTTAATAAATTTACTCTCCTGCCAACTTCAGTTGAGTTTCCATCAGGCCCAGCTCCCCTGTTGAATAGTATATTTGATATATAATGCATTGAGATACATATTATTACAATGATAAAAACAAGATTGATAATTACTTACTTCCATTGTATGCTGTTTTTACTACTCTTCTCTATTAAGCCTATGCCTTCCAATACATTCGTAATGTCATATATTCTTCTTTTTTGTCTAACAGCCAATAAATCTGTAGCCTAAAACCGTCACAATTGTCTATAAGTAAAATAATAATTGATACACACTTCATTTATGTTTTATTTTACAGCTCAAACTGACACTGCGATCAATGTAAGCATGTAGTACTTACGATTTTTAAATCCAAAACTCCGTCCTTTGCTTTTTGTAACAACGATACAAATCTGGTAGTAAGTAGTCCTAATGACTTTTCATAACGTTTATATCCATATAATTCCGCCATTATTTAAATTGAAGCAATTTTCCCACTATAATTATTACCTACTTTGCCTTACAATTTTGCGTTGCGGCGGGATATATAAAGTTGGTACACTGTGTTTTTAACTTTAAAAACTACAGATTAACCACTAATTTAACCTTTGACATTGCACATAGACTTTACAATGGGGAAGAATTTTGCCACTTTCTCCAGCAAGATGTCGCGATCACTATAGCTCTCAGTTTATTGTAAAATTCTATAGGTTGCACACGCACTATAGAGGGCAGCACTTCTGTCGAACTAAGGTACCCTGGTGTTAAATAAGAAAAATATATTTTGAAATAAAACTTTACGGATTATTTCGCGGATTTATTTTGATTTTTGGTTCCCGACGTTTCGAATGCTTTACAGCATCCATGGTCACGGGAGAGACTGAGGTGTTACATGTCTTGAAGGTATAGTTGTTACAGACAGCCTACCCACAATTAACAAAATGAAAATTGCACCAATTACATTACAATATTTTTTAACTTTAAACATTTTTACAATTTTATTTATAAAAAAAAATTGTGTTAAAATAATCCGAAAAGATAGTTTTATTTAAAATTGAATCGTGTTTTAAATGTAATTGAAACAAAAGATGAAAATAAGCTATCAGTCATAACCTGCACATTTTAACCCCTTATGGGATTGAATTTTGAAAAATGCTAACTCATATTTAATTAATTGTATTGAAGAGCATTAATACCAAGTTTCAAGTTATTGAACATAAATAATTCTTTGCCTATATAAGCTTTATTACCCCCTTTTATCCTTTTAAGGGATGAATTTCGATAAAAATTAAATAAATAAATTTCTTATTTTTTATCTTAAAGCTAAACACCACTTTCTGTGTATTTCACATTAAGAATGACAGAGTTTCATAAATCTTTAATCCCCTATTTTACCCACTTATTGGATGAATTTCGAAAAATTTCTTTTTTATCGGATTCCTATATCATAAAAGGAATATACATATTGTCCTTCAAATTTCACGTTTCTACGACCAGCAGCTTAGGCTGTGTGTTGATCCATCAGTCAGAACCAACGCAGGATGCACCTCTCCTTTTCAATTCTTTCTTCAGCTGGTCTAACTTCCAAATTCAATACATTCCACAAGTAAGATGCGTATACAATAAAACTTAGAAACAAAAAACCAGGTACCAAAATGATATCACAATAAATTGCTTTACCTCAGACTGAATGTAAATAGGCCATACGTGTGGCGCCCTCCTTTCAAGAAATCCTCCTCATTGTTTCAAAACGTACCAAAAGAAGTGTAAATTATAATTTTAATAAAGGATTTTTTCGTGCAAGACCCATCCGATGTCGAACGATATCTGTTCCTCGATCTACACCTTAATAAATAGTGGATAAAGATTACAATATTTGTAAAAAAAACAAAACAAATCTGTCAATAATTGTCAAACCATGTTGTTCAGCTTAGAGTATACATAAGCATATGTATACTCTAAGATTGTACTCTGTAGTCTGTAGTGTCAATGTCAAACACAATTCACAAACTCAAATATTGAATTATGTTCATCATCTAAGTCAAATCACAAATGCTAATGTTTACAATTTGAATTTAGTATTTACGCTAATCATATTTTTCTAAAATTAAAATAATTTTATCTTTATCTTTTATATATACGGACATATTGTTGATTACATTAAGTAGCATTTTATTAACTCTAAATGATAAATTATGAATAATAAAGTACTTGCTCTCTTTCTAACTGAAACGATACCAAATAGCAGTGACGACAGCGATACTAGCAACTGGAGTGATATAAGTAGTATAAAATCAGAATATTCGGAGGACGATGATGATGATGAAGATAGACTATTTTTTCCTTTAATGCAATATCTAACCAGATTAAAAAGAATACGTATAGATGATTATTTACATATCGTAGAATCATGGACTGATGCAGAATTTAAAAACCGCTTAAGATTAGAACGAAAGACGGCTTACCGTCTTATTGGTAATTGAGCTTTTTTTATTATTCCTGACTAGCGACTCACCCTCGCTTCGCTCGGGTTTGATCCTGGCTGATTCCCCATACAAACTTTCATCCACATTTTCACCCCCTTATGGGATGATGATATCCAGGATCTCTTAATCTTCCTAGGGTCTCAAACTATCTTTTTATTCAAATTTCATCTAAATTGGTTCAGTAGATCCAGAGGTTACCCCCTACTACGTCACAAACTCTCTATAATATTAGTATAGATAACCTAAGCTGATATTTACATGATATTTACATATCTTAATTTCAGATGATTTGGAAAAATCTGGCTTTATTGCATCAAATAAATTTGGATTAAAACCTTTAGAACCGAAGCTTTGCTTTTACATATTTCTCTCTTTCATATCAAATATTGAACCCCTTACACCAATAGCATCAAGGTTTGATATCTCCATTTCTTCAACTTTTCGGGTTATTAGAAGAGTGATTGCATGGATTTTAACAAAATTAAACCAAGCTATAAGATGGCCACAAAACTATAATGATGTAAGGGTAATTTCTGATAACTTTCAAACTAAAACTGGCATATCTAACATGCTAGGAGTAATTGATTGTACCCATATAAAAATTGAAAAACCAAAAAATGCTAGAGAATATTGTAATCCAAAAGGATATTTTTCAATTATCCTACAAGCAACAATAGATGCTCATTTGAGATTTACAAGTATATATTGTGGAGAACCAGGTTCATGTCATTGTGCAAGAGTGCTGAAGAAGTCACCACTATATAACACGGCTACCCAAGACTGCAATACGCTATTTCCAAATAACACTTTTCTAATTGGGCATTCTGGATATCCAACATTACCCTGGTTAGTTCCACCTTTTAGGGAAAATAAAACATTGACACTAGAACAAAGAGAATTTAACTCACTTCATGCCTCTGCTAGGAAATTGAGTGATAAAGCTTTTGATTTGTTAAAAAATAGATTCAGAAGAGTTAAATTGTTAACTGTGTATAGAAATATTGCTTTCATAACTGATACAATAGTAGCGGCTTGCATATTACATAATTATTGTCTTAATGAAAATGACCATTTTGAAGAAAATGAATAAAGAGTACCATGATTATTGAAAATATATCTATTTTTTTTCAAGAACCAGCCACAAAGATTTAAAGAAGTAACCACACGTTTTTATAATAAGTGTAAATTTAGTTTCTCTTTCCTTCCATATTTGTCATCTCTAGTTCTCACTTGAATAGAACTTCATTAAATATTTAATCTTAAAGCATAACTACAATTAATATAATATTAAACTCAAGACAATTGATTTGTTAAAAAATTCCTTAACAATGCACATTTTTCACGTTCTATTTTAAGAATTTCATCTAGCTTTTTCTCTTTTAATTGTAATTTTCTTAAAGCTATTGATTGTTTGATTTCTACTTCTTTCTTTTTTAATTGTAACTCTTCTTCTCTTAGTCTTAAGCTTCTTTCATATCTTTCATCCCTAATTTGTCTTTGTTCTTCTTGTCTTTTAATGTATTCTATCCATTGCTTATCCAATTCTATTTTTGTTCTTCGTTCTGCTCTTAGTTTACGAAAAGTTGTAGAATTTTTAAAAGATAGCTTCTTATTTAAAATATTATGTGTTTTGTTACTTTCTTGTCCTTGTATTAAACCTGATGCTAGTCTATATGAAGCATTGTCTTCAGTACATCTCCCAAGTATTTGATGCATTTCATTAAAATATTTGAATGTCATAAGCCCATTTCCATTATCAATGCAATCCCTATACTTTTTTGTCAGTGCATTTATTTTCCATCTGACCTGATCTGGAGTCACCTTGAAATCACATAATATATTATAAATATTTTTATAGTGCATTCAAATTAAAAATGGGTTAATAAACCCCTGCCTATTATACTGACCTCAATATTTAATGTTTTTAATTCTTCAGCCAATGAAGTCCACATTTTAGACTTCTTTTTTGGATTATCCAGCAAGCTAAGTTTAGTTTCATAAAGATTTAACAGCATTAATGTGGAATTTTTTGTCCAAATTATATCTGTAATAGCAAAACAATGAAAAAGAGTCTATGTTGCATGCATATATTTCATTAATAATATTTGTTATATAGTTGGTACATAGTACATACTTTGTTTACAGCCGGTTTCATTTGTTTCTATATCTTCTTCATTAATATGTGTATTCATATTATAACTTGTCATATCATGATTTTGTTTATATGATGAAGCTAAATTCATGAAAAAATGTTAAAAAATAAAAGTCATAAGAGAAAATAACAACTTAATGTTTAGATCATTTAAAAGAAATAGGTAATTAAAGTTTCATTGTGAACTACTTTACTCACTTTGATCATCCAATATAGCTAAAACAGCTACATTACTGTCAATATTTTCATCCATTATAATAATCTTATTAAAATATTTAGAATAATGGATAGAACATAATATTTTCGACCTATAACAATTAAAAATTTCAAAACTATAAAATTTGTTAATCATGAACACTTTATGCTTTTTTTGTTTATAATGAAGTCCAATTACTAAACAAACTTGCAATATTTAGTAATTTAATGTGAGAGAAAATTTAAATTTTTGACATTAATGCTATTTGCTAACAACGTAGAGTATATTACTAACAAGTAACAACAAGCAGATTGATCATTGAATGATAAATGAATATTGTCTATTGATAGATAAATGATAATAGATATTTAGATAATAACGTCAATCAAATAAATTAGTAAACTGGCAATTATGAATGAATGGCCATTGGCCAATGGGCACAGTGCCACAGAGATATTAAAAAATAAGAACTTGTTGTAAAGATGTGTCAACTCGAGTTACTAACTCGAGTTAACTCGAGTTGGGCGTAACTCGAATTAACTCGAGTTGAATTCTCTCTGACTCAAATTGGATTTGCGTGGTATATGAACGAATCAAGCGAGTACGCGATTGACCTTACGCAAACGCGGCGATTCGTTCGTTGTGTTCATGTTTTGTACAGTCGTCAGCACTTCAGACTATACATTTATGTTGCAAAATCGCTCCTATTACAACGGAATAAGATGCCACAGTATTTAACTTAATCGCTGTCGTCCGTACTCCTGTTATAGCGTTTTAACCGAATGAAAGCGGTATAATATCCATACTAATATTATAAATGTGAAAGTGTTTGTTTGTTTGTCCTTCTTTCACGTCGAAACAGAGTAACGGACTGGGGTAATTTCTTGGGTGAAGATAGTTCATAGTTGGAGGGCTGGAGAGTGGTATAGACTACTTTTTACCGCGGAAGATTATCTCATATCCACGGGGAAACACGTTATAATACAACCCAAAAAAAAAATATTTATGATCAGAATTACTTGAAACTTGGTATTAACGTTCTTCAATACAATTAAATAAATATATGTTTTATGCTCAGATTATTTAAAAAACCAAAACAGCAAAAACATTTTTAATCGGTGGTATATAATTTGAATAACGAGTGTTTTTTTATGTAATGGTTGTATCGGGGAAAAATGACGCGCGGGCTCGATGCTTAACGGGTTCTAGTGGTTAAAATAGTTAACTCATCAAAAAGTTCGATCATTTTTTGTCAAAATTAAGGATATCGTGCTTCATTGTTTATCATTAATTTAATAATCACAGATAACATATTTGTGAAGTTAATGATTTAAAAAAAACTCTTGTTTACAAATAAAAAGAATCGTTAATCATACTATTAAAGAAGATTTTGTGGATCTTAATGGACCGTAACGTGTCTGTCTGTGGATCGGATCGCATGCATTTGTTGCAATTTTCAAAAGATCGTTTCAAAAATTTTGCTTGAAAATACAACATTTAAATATTAATATATGACGTTTATTTCAAAGAAAAAAGGGTTAGGTGGTTAACTTAACATTCAAAAACGCAGTAAACATTAACCTAAGAAAACAAACTTTTAGATTAAAATGAGCTTACAATAATTGAAGGTACACGTAAATATACAACGTCATAGATATTCGCAATTTCGCATCCTTTTTTTTTACGTTGGGAAATGCATTTACGCACGACGTGTGGGACTCACCGGCGTAATACAGCCAGTACTACCCATTAAAACCCAACAAAACCTTCCCCCGTCTTAATGGGGCGTCGCAGGATCGCTTACGCATTCAACTACGACGCCCCGACGGCAGGTCTGCCAAAGCAGACCACCACTACCATGGGGTTGCTCCAAGGTCCACTCTGCTATCAGAGAAGTACCAGGAGCAACCCGCAAGGTACACCACCCATCGAAGTGGGCCACCTCCCTGTGCGTTTCTTAGCTTCGCGCCCGGTTGGATTGCCGGGTACTACTGAGCCCCCCCACCAGGACAAGGTGAACGCACGTTGGGGGAGACAATTTCGCATCCTAGTCGTACCCACAATATTTCTTAGAAATAATAAAAACGCTCGTATCGTTTATTTCGTGGCATCTTTTTACTCGGTGTTACCAATAGCAAACATAAATAATAATTAAAATGTACCTCAAGTACCAACATTTTGTTTACATTTATCTTATCTTATATCTTTAAACGAGCAATTCTTGTATATATATGTCCAGGTTCAATTCTCGATCGTATTTTACTTTTGTTTTTTTTTTTAAATATTTATTCAAGTTTTTAGTTTAAACAAAAAAAAAGAAAATTGTACTTTAGGCCAAAAACTCCGAGCGAAGCTAGCTAGCTAGCTAGGTAGCCCAGGTACTTAACATAAACAAACTAAAGTTCCAAAATGCACTTTGATTGACCACCCAATAATAACATACATTGTGTGCAAACCACAATGTTTGGACCGCGATCCGATATTTGATAGAGTTGAATGAATCCGCAGTTCGGATCGCATGATTTCGATAGGATCTGTAATCGGATCAGCGTATCACTAGGTGAGAAGTTTTGCTTATAAGCTTTTTAATTAACTGCGGTTGAATTTAATAATTTAAAGTAAATCAATATATTATTTGAATAAGACTTTAACCGATTTTTTAATTATAAAAGTGATGTCTGACTTTTAAAAGATATGTTTTTGTTTAAAATAAATAGAACTATGTACGTTAAAGTTATTAAAATAGAAAATAACAATATTTGCAGCATAAATAGTTTTGATATTCATAATATATTTTTTAAATAGTGAAGCAAAGAAGTTAAAATTTGTCAGTTTGTATTGAGAAAATTTACAATAGTAATATATATTTTTTTACAACATCAGAAAGTAGAGATTTCGACGAACAAAAAGCCCACCGACTTTTCTTAAAAAGCAGATTGAAAATTAGGGTGCCTTTTCGATATTAAGTCAAAATAAGGTGAAAAAATAAATATTTTAAATAAAAAAAAAATACATTATATTTGAGATATAAAAAGGTAAGTTTTCACCAAATATCGTGAAAAGAAAATTTATTTTGTAAAAGATAAAAATAGAAAACCAATACTTAGTTATTTGAATTTTTCACATAATTTATGAAATTATTTGAAAAAGGTGTAAGGACAAAAGTTGTAGATCTTTTTATTACCTACAACTTTGCATTTAACTTTTTCCCACAGGACTTGTATTTTGTCGGAAATCGAGATAAGCCGTTTTGTACCGTTAAAAACTCACCCCTGCCACTTCCCGACCTCGGATCGCGCGTAAATTATTTCCCTTTCATTTTTGTTATATTCTCTTCCTTTTCCAATGGGTTTCATACTTGATCCTACTACTATTATTTTTTTGGTTTCAAAAATTATCGACCCTGGTCTATGATAGGAATAGGATTCTTTGTAGAATCTGTATTGTGTACTGTTCATCATGGATGACAAATAAAGTTTTCATTGACGTTGCTTGACGTGACATCGGGGATATATACTTACTCGTACTAGAAAAATAAATGATAAAAATAATATATTGTAAATCTTGGTTATAGCCAAGCATATTTCAGTTAAAATGGCTAGTTGTGGTGATTTTATTAAAAGTCAATTTCCTTTAATGGACGAAGAGTTAAAAAAATATGTTGAAGGTATGGATTAAAAGGTTATAAAATATAAATCTGTAATGTTATTTTTGATAACGCTTTGACTTTGTTGTAACTTAATTTATTAAAATATACTATTATTAAAAAATATTGACGTATCACTATTTATATTTAATTAAATAGTGTAATACGGATCTTTTACATTTACAGACATATTGGATAATAGCGCAGGTGAATTTGAAGATACCGAGGAAGTTTACGAAGCCGTAGGAGAAGTCTTACAAGGGATTTCCGAAAAGTCTGAAGAAGATATAAGGTAAACATTAAAAATCTCATAGTTGAAACATATTTTTCATTAAAAGCTAATGTACTTTTAAAGATAAATACATATTTTAAAAAGGACAAAATTGTCATAAAATAATTATTTTGCCTCATCTTAAATATCTTCTAGTTCATAATGTATTATGACTAACTATTATAAAACTTGTGTTACCAGGGAAATATGTCAGCAATTATTGAGCATGTTACAACCAGAAAAATCAAATAGTACTAATGGTCCAAGGAAAATATTGAATGAGCCAATCCATATGGCATCAATGACTGTCAACACAATTGAAACAGAAGACGTAAAAAGTATATGGCTGCCCATAAGAGATGATAGCTTAGTAAGTTGTTAGAGCTTAAACATTTTGTACACACTACAGATTAATCTATAATAGATTTACCTAAGTTATACTTTTTAACCAGTGATCATTTTAAAATTCTAAGAAAGTATTATTTAATGATCATTTTATATTATAAAGTATTATATACTACTAGTATATAAATTAGCATAGAAATTGTATAGAAGCTGTTTTTTTGCATATATTTATTTCAGTTTAAAATTTTATGAATTATTCTAATTTGATTTAAAATAATCTCTTTATATGTTCAAATTTAGAATTTGTATGTATGTTTTTTTTTTTAATTTTTAATATCTTGTTTTTTTAGAAAGTAGATGCAAAAAAGCTTGAAAAAGCTGAGGCAAAATTGCAACAAAAACAGCAGAAGCAAAAAGATTCAAAACTTCCAATTGCCGCTCCAGTGTTGCAAAGTGCAACAGCTTCACAAGTTACTTCCAAGAAAGATAGCAAACTTGAGGCAAAAGGCACTAATAGAACTCAAGATATAAGGATAGAAAACTTTGATATTGCATATGGAGATAGGTAAAGTATATTTTTGTAATGGACTTATATTCATAGCAAATTAGTTTATATTACTTTCTGGTCCATGGACTATCTTCTTAAATAATCATGTACCTGATCCCACACTTACATCCAATAAGAAAGAGTTAATATTATAAAAGTAATATGATAATTCGAAAAAGCGACGGATTAAAAGCAACCTTATTTTTTTCAAAAACACCTTTCTAGTATGACCATTTTGTGTTAATTTCGTGTTCGTTTTACGTCGTGAGAATTTCGTCTTGTTCGTTTATAAATATATTAGTCTTTTTAAGCGGAGACTTGGAGCTATAGTGTCGTGTAAGTGTCAAAAGGAAAAAGAAGTAAAGTATTTTACATTAACTTCAAAATCACTTGAAATAATAATTCCACCCTTTGAGGTGACAGTTTTTAAAATTTATATGAAATCTGTTGTTAAATTGTCACATGCAACAAACACTCTTACTCATTTATGATGTTAAGCTATATGATACATACTTTTGATTTTTCTTCTTGGTCTTGCTCATTTCTTTGTATGATTGATTGTAGAAGCAGCTGTTGTACAACACAACTATCTATTTTATCAAACAGCACTATTATTAAATCACCATAACTATGTCCAGCAGTTTTACATAATAATGTGAATCTTTAATACACTGGATAGTATAAAATATTTTTCGATTTTTTGAAATAAAATGGTGTATATAAATTTTGGTTACAAATTTTGTCTATATCAATATTGCATATGGCAAAAATTATAAGTAATTGACAATATCATAAAATAGTTGACTATTTCATGAAATCTTTACAAATAGTATGATGGATAGTGTCAAAAAAAGTTTTGTAGTCAGACTTGTCACTGAGCTTGAATTTGAATTAAGGTGAAATATTATTTCACCTTAACTCTCACCGATTGTGTTGAAGTATTATCCCATTAGACCTTGAGAGAAAAAAGGAATAGAGAGTTTCTTTTACCAGTATTTCTCAGGTCTCAGGCTTCTTCTTTCCGAACTGGTAGTAGACTCATGACGTTTAGTAAAAAAATGTAATAATTTAATGCTGAATAAAATATTTTGAATTTAAATTTGAAAAAGTGCACTTATGTCTGCGCGTACACTTGTGCACTTCAATATCTCCTGCGCTAGGTAGCTATTTTAGCTATATAATATCTGGCTAGTTTTAGTGAGATTGACCACCATGGCTAAAATTGATTAAAAGAACATATAATATTTTAATAGCTAATATGTTAATAGCGGTGTGCAATTAAGAATGTAAAGTGTATGTAAAGTTTGTCCATGATTTAGTAAATGTAATGGAATATCATAGGAAATGAAAAGTAGGTTTGCTTTGATATATTGAATGTTACCATAAGATGTTTCCCTGAAAGAATAGAACAAATAGTAACAAAAACAAGTTATTCTTTTTAGAATATTATATTTGAAACATGATAAAAATATATACTGTATATAAAAAATATATCATCCAATACAATTAAGTTTTAAATTACATTGTATTGTTGTACAATACTTGTTTCAATCTTTAGTATTTATCAGATATGTGTATAACATATCAGTATATATATACATTTCTTAATTTTACAGAGTATTATTACAAGGAGCAGATTTAGTCCTCGCGTTTGGTAGACGATATGGTCTGGTCGGCCGTAATGGTTTGGGCAAAACAACTTTACTTCGCATGATAGCCAGTAAACAACTGAAAATACCATCTCATATATCCATACTCCATGTAGAACAAGAAGTAGTGGGAGATGACACAATAGCCCTACAGAGTGTTCTAGAATGTGATACAGTTAGAGAAAATTTGTTACGGAGAGAAAAGGAAATAACGGCTGCCATTAATAATGGGTAAGAAATTTAGTATACCGAGATAGTAAAGTATTGTGATTTTGGCATTAGTGAATTCTGATAACTAAATAGTTATATAGTTAGAATATATGACACATTTCCATATATTGATAAATTATTTAATTAATTATGTATTTAAAAAAAGATTGTAATTAAAAAAAAAGTTAAAACGGTTCAAGAGTTAAGTAAAGATTATTACTTTTGCTAATTTTGCTTATTTCGATTAGATATATAATATTTATTATAAATATTTAATATTAATTGGATATATTATTATATATCCAATGTGAGTAGTCTCACATAAAGTATTTGTCACCATTTGATTTGATTATATATTAATATGTATAAAAAGTATGCATATTTTCAAGCTTCTTTGCCACAAAAACAATTGAAACTCCAGACACCAAAAATCAACAATTGTATTTTGTAACCCCTAAAGATATTACAATATTTAATGATAATTTAATTAAAAATTCCTTTCAGTTCAACTGACACAAACCTATCAACAGAGCTAAGCGAAGTATATGCACAATTAGAAAACATAGAAGCGGACAAGGCACCGGCGAGAGCGTCGATAATTCTCAGTGGATTAGGTTTCACACCGGAGATGCAAGCAAGAGCGACCAGGACGTTCTCCGGTGGGTGGAGGATGAGGCTGGCACTTGCTAGGGCGTTGTTCTCAAAGTAAGTGGAAATATTGGTAGTTGACTATTTTGTGCCTATTACAATTAGAACATGGTGGGATAGTTGACCATTTGTGCTTATTAAATTGTGAGTTAAAATATGGTGGGATATTTGACCATTTGTGCCTATTAAAGTGTTAGTAGTTGAAATGTCGTGTGATATTTGACCGTTTCAGCATATCAAACTGTAAGCCAAAACATGGTGTGATATTTGACTCTTTGTGCATATTAATCTGTAAGTTAAACCATGGAATATTTGACTTTAGCAGTAATGATCTTTAAAATAGTCTGTGAAAGTTAAAGAAATAATCTAGACAATATTCATTTAAGTTTTTTCTTGTGGAAACATTTAATTTCTTATGTATTTTCTTTAAATGATTACAAAAAATTGTTGGTCAAGAGAGAATGGAAGCGGAAAAGAGTATCGACTTTTGAACATTAATAGAATTTAACATTAAAGAAACAAAAGGTCTAAAAAAAATTAAACAATTATTTATATAATAATTCCATTTAATATTATTAGTTGTATTATTGTCTAACTAAAAATATTGTATGTTTCAGACCAGACTTACTACTTCTCGACGAGCCTACTAACATGTTGGACATTAAAGCTATCATCTGGTTAGAAAATTACTTACAAAATTGGCCGACGACGCTTCTAGTCGTCTCTCACGACAGGAACTTCTTGGACACAGTACCCACGGATATATTGCATTTACATACACAAAGGATAGACACATACAGGTATTTGGGCGATTTGTTATCTTATCTTAGTCATTTACACTATTTTGTCATTTATTGTTTTTTTTTTCTATTTAATTTAAAAAATATATATATAAACAAATTAAGTTTAGATTAGATTATGTTATTATATTATTGTAAATATTGTAATTATCTCACTTATAAAAACTAGCAATCTTTCGAAAGGCATGTGAAGTTCGCCAGCCCGCACTTGGCCAGGGTGGTGGATATGGTCTGATCCCTTTCGTATTGAAGGGCTGTGTGCAGCAGACACTCAAAAAGGCCTGAATACATGTTAAACATGATATAGCCATTGCATCTTAAACGCCATAGGCATAATAAAACGTCCAAATCGTTGCGACTTTTTTTTTAAATTTCTGACTGGCTTACAATATTAAATTATGAAGAGACTTTATTCGAATAAATCATTTAAAAATCTACTTCAATATTTCGCACACAAACACACATATAAACTATTTTTGCAGTAATTAAAATTTAAGTTTTGTTATTATTAGGCTATAAAGATTTAAATTTTTTAAGACGTTTTCTACAGAAGAGCGGGACATCCTGGCACAAGTATATATTTATTTAAAAGGATGCCACAACAACGTATCAATGTATTCGAAAAACTCTCGTTTATCTATAAATAATTTTCATTTCCAAACGAATCGCCTTCCAGGGGCAACTACGAGCAGTTCCACAAGACCAAGACGGAGAAGCACAAGAACCAGCAGCGCGAGTACGAGGCGCAGCAGCAGCACCGCGCGCACACGCAGGAGTTCATCGACCGCTTCCGCTACAACGCCAACCGCGCCTCCTCCGTGCAGAGCAAGATCAAGATGCTGGACAAGTTGTGCGTACATTCTATATCTTACTGATATTATTATTTTAATATGAAATACAAATATTTTAATTTTTCGGCTTTTCTGTACTATAATATGCATGTATCCGTTGCGTAGTTTTAAAGATCTAAGCGTACATAGGGACAGACAGAGGGCGGGAAGCGACTTTGTTTTATACTATGTAGTGACGTGTATAAGTTTGTAAGGATGTACACTCTAACAAGGTTATTGATAAAACTTTACAGTAATATAGTTTTCACATCGTCATATAATTCTTAAAGATATTATATTAATGTAACTTGTATATGGAGCCGCAAAAACGCAACTATCATGTAGGTATTATAAATTGCCTTGGTGGTCTAGTTATTAGTGGCACAGATCACCAGATGTTAAATAAAATAATAAAATAAATATTTTCTTTGTTTTCGACTTTTAAATAAAACTGTTTTTTTCGGGGTTTTTTTCACGGATTTATTTTGATTTTTGTTTTTGTTATAAAGCATTCTTCAGTTGTTACAGACAGTGCCTACCCACAAAGTTACACAATGATTCGAAAATATTAAAGTTTTATTTAAAATACCAAATGTCAAATATTTGCTTAATCGAAAGTATTATGCTTTCGAGTTACTGAATTTGAAGGCACGAATTGGCTAATTAATAATAACAAAGCCATCTAGTTACTAGTATACAAAATAAGACCGCGCGAGGCGATCGCCCACTTTAGGGACTTTTATTTTGTACCAATTCTATTTCGGCCCCTAAAACTATCTGTGTTTTGAGTTTATATAGAATTTCTATCTCTTGTAAAGAATCCTCAGATAGGTTAGCCTGCCGCCATTGTTTATAAATTATTGTAATTATAATGCGTAATCTTTATTTTCCAGACCAGAATTAAAACCAGTAGAGAAAGAAATAGATGTAGTACTCCGGTTTCCAGAGACGGAACCTCTCTCCCCTCCCATACTGCAGTTGAATGAAGTCGGCTTCTACTATTCCAAGGACAAAGTTATATTTTCAAATGTCAACCTCGGAGCCACTCTCGAATCTAGGATATGTATAGTGAGTATTACTTTTTTTTTAAATATGTAAAAAAAGTTAAATGTAAAAAAATGTAAATGTAAAAAAAAATCGAAAATAGATTTTCCGAAGTCATATTTTTTAATGCTTTTACGACGTTGTGTTGTTGAAACGTATTTCCGTCCAGTACAAATATAGTGAACATATATTATAGGCATAATATATTATTAAACTAAAGACTATTCTAAAAAATAATTAGTGAATTTCTTGAAAGGAAAAAGGTATTATTACTGTCTTTATGACTAAATGACATTAAATTAGTTTAGTATTTAATTTCCTATTTACATTAATTTAGTTTAAAATTTTATGTAATATTTATATTAAAGTATTAGTAGTATATTTTTGGAGGAAGTAAAATTAATCGTTGCACACAGGTGGGTGACAATGGTGCGGGTAAAACAACTTTATTAAAAATCATAATGGGCATCCTCTCCCCCACGAGCGGCATACGCAGCGTGCACCGCGGCCTCAAGTTCGGGTACTTCTCGCAACATCACGTCGATCAGCTGGAAATGAACGTTAATTCAGTTGAATTACTACAGAGGAGTTATCCAGGTGACAAAACATTCTATAAACTTGATTATATGAAGTATGTTAATTGCCCAAATATTAAAACAGTAGGCAAATATTGTTGTCATAAAAATAAAACAAGGCCGCGACTTCGTCAAAGTTGATTTCGAGATGTTTGAAGTTTTGTCTTGAGGGCCATTCATTAATTACGTAAGGATGATTTTGAAGACTTGACCCATTTTGGGCATGTATAGATTTTCGTGGCGAACTGTGCCATGAAAGTTGTGCCATGTATTTTTTGACAACCTGATTAGCATTTGACTACGAACAATAGGCGATCGGCTCTTGTAAGGGTTTTTATACTTTGTTATTACCTCGTGTTTAGCACCGAAGCAAATCTAACAGCAGTATGGGTGATGTTACTCTGCGTCAATACATTTTGAGAGTAGTCTTTAAGAATTTCAGTAGAACTGGCCCATTACACCTCTATTCTCTATATATAAAATGTCTTGTTGAAATCACTATTAGCTCCTTATTGCTCACATTATGATTAAACCAGTTTGCAAATAGACAAAAAAATATGATTTTGTTCAAAATAAATCTTATTAAATCTTTTCAAGAACATGAAGTTTTTTTCGTCTTTCTCTATTTTAATCTGTCGTATAAAAAACAGCAGGCAGTGGTTGCCCAGTGGTAGGCAGTGGTAGCCTAGTGATGACGCGCTCGCTTGGAAAACCGAGTGAAGCGGGTTCAAATCCCGATTCTCGCACCTCGGATATTTTCATGTGCAAATCATTTCCAACATGATTACCACTTGTCTTACGGTGAAGGAAAACATCGTGAGGAAACCTGCATGTCTGAGGGAACCTAGCAAGTTTTCGAAAGACATGTGAAGTCCGGCAACATGCACTCGGCCAGCGTGGTGCACTATGGCCTGATCCCCCTCGTATTGAAAGAAGGATCGTGCCCAGCAGTGGGACATTAGAAAAGGGCTGAATAAATACATATTAACATACATAAAAACAGTTTCTTATTATTTTTTTCCATGTTTAAGGTAAAACGATAGAAGAGTACAGAAGACAGCTGGGCAGTTTCGGCGTGAGCGGTGATTTGGCGCTTCAGACTATAGGGAGCCTGTCCGGAGGCCAGAAGTCCCGCGTCGCCTTCGCCAGCATGTGTATGGGCAACCCTAACTTCCTGGTACTCGACGAGCCGACCAACCATCTGGATATAGAGACGATAGAAGCGCTAGGGAAAGGGATTAATAAGTACACTGTAAGTATCTTATAATATTAAATGAATAATTCTTGTATATTTGTATATACAAATTGGTTTGTCTAACGATTTGGATCAAATTTTGTATTAGGATAAGTTTATATCACAGATCACAATACACCACTATATGTATAAGTACAGATGCCTCATCTTATACAAAGAAATTGGACAGTGCTAATTCGGGCTATTCTCTGGGCTATTTTTGTTTGCTTGAATATATATTTGAATGTTTGCTTGAATAATCGTTGGTTTGCAAATAGTTGAACTGTTTTAATTCATAAAAATATGCAAACTGTCTTATGGCAAATATGTACTGTAAAATTCTTCCTGCATTTGAATAAAAAAAAATCAATGATTTTAATAATTTTTAACTGTGATAAACAATTTAAAAAAAATAAAAGTGACATCTGTGAATATACACTACAAACTCATTATCCGATTGCTGATATTTCGATAATCAGTAAACTTACGCAAATTTGATATATGTACAAGCGCATTATTTCGTTTCAATTTACTTAGAATAATTTTTAAAATAATAATACATTTTTTGGGATCTATTTTTTTATCTTTTGTTAATTCAACACAACTTTAATAACTAATCGCTACATGTAACGTCATCTATTGACATTTATTTGAACTCATTTTTCTCTCTTCGTGATGAGACCCCACGTCTATATAGAGATGTATTTTCGGAAAAAAAACACATTTTTTATATCTTTTCCGAAAAAACGCCAAGCGAAGCTCGTTCGTCCAGGCACTAAATAATATAAAACTAAAACTTTAATTTCCGAATAAACAGGGTGGAGTAATCCTAGTGTCGCACGACGAGCGCCTCATCCGCGTGGTGTGCCGCGAGCTGTGGGTGTGCGGCGCCGGCGCCGTCGCCTCCATAGAGGGCGGCTTCGACGAGTACCGCAAGATCGTGGAGAGGGAGCTGGACGCACAGAACAAATAGAGACCTGTGCGGGCGGTTGGCTGCTGGACTGTTATTTGGACTTTATAAACATTACACCAGGGATGCATCCGATACCGATATATCAGTGATATTGTTGGTATTCCAATATATCGATATCGGTGATATTAGTTTGCCGATACACCGATCCATTTTCAATAATTCAAAAAAAAAAAATCAAAAAATAACTAATGTTCTGTTAAATTACAGTTTTCAAAACATAATTGATATTTTGTTAAATTCTAAATAAATATTAATTATGTAAGTAATGCTGTTTGTTACTGTGTTTTCTATCCTAAACCTACATTTTTTTTACTTTTTATACATTTTGAAGATTGTACCGCATCGGTATCAGCGATACTTTTTTATAAATATCGGTATCGTATCGGCAGAAGTGCGTATCGATGCATCCCTAATTTTCAATGTTACAATCTATCTTTCAATGTTTCAACTCGGCTTCCCAATCCGGAGCCGGATTACTCAAGTATTTCGAACTGGTTAGGTTCTCTCAGATATGCAGGTTTCATTAATGTTTTATTTATAAGCTAGCGGTAAAATGATTCGCAATACAATCTAAAAATCTAAGCGGTAAGACCCAGTTTTGAACCAGCTTCACTCGGTTCTTAAGCGAGCTCGTTTATAATGTACTACCATTAATATATTTGAAGTATTTACTTGTAACAGTTATGTTTGATTTGTAATCTATCCTTTAATCTTTCAATCCATCAATTTACGCTTAGTTAGTTATTGTTGATATACTGCCTCCGTGGTGTAGTGGCTAGCATGTACGGCTGCACACTCGGAGGTCCTGGGTTCGAGTCCCGGGTCGGGCCAAGTTTAGTTATTGAGTCTTTCTGTATAAGTAAGCCTCAGTAACAGCCCGGAGTTGGGAAGTTGGCGGTGTTTCACCCCCGTGCCTCGGAGAGCACGTAAAGCCGTCGGTCCTGCGCCTTAACTCTCACCGGTCGTGTCGAGTAGTCGTCCCACCGGAATATGAGAGTGACAGGAATAGAGAGTGCACTTGTGTCTGCGCTCTCCCTCACACGCACTGCACTATAATATCTCCTGCGCAGTTGGCTAGTCTCAATGAGATTGGCCGCCGTGGCCGGAATCGGTCGGGAGAACATCATCATCATTGTTGATATATAGCTGGATTTTAGAGATAGAGGTATACACTCCGCGCAGTATGAAATTAATGTTACCTTATGTTATGAAACCTTCATCTTAATTGTATTTATCATTTATATACATAGCTTTGTAAATGTACATAAAATTAGATTTCAATGAAATGTCAAATTCTTCCAATAGCTTGTATGTTTTAGTAACAGTTGAACAGCCCAACTAACTTGCAAGCTAAGCTCGTGTCAACCAACGCTGTGACTGCTAATGTATCGTGTAAAAAGTACCACTAAATTATAATTATGTATATTATATACGTCGTGTTGTCTTTATTTATTCATATAGCAGTTGAAGGACGAATGAAAAACTGATAATATTCAATGCAAATTTTTATTTCATACCTCCGACCTCTCTCCATTCTCATTAAATAAGTTCAGCAATACAATTCCACAAAGAATTGAAGTATAACAAAACCATGGCAAATTATAGTATAAAATTAACTTAAAGAATATTTACAAATTAAAGTTCATAATTCAAATACATAATATACAATTAAAATAGTGACTGAAGTAACAACGGAATAGAGTTAAATGATAAAAAACTCATTCGGTTCGAAAATTCAAATAAAATTTTAATAATAATTAATTATTTAGTATGTTTCATATTAAGCCATTATATACTTTCGTCTCTTAAATAAATGCATAATTGTTTCTTTTTTTATGAAAAACGTTACTCTATTTCTTATATCGGAGGGTAGAATATTTGTGAAATACAATAATAAATTAAATGTTGGACTATTTTTGATGGGATATAGTTTATGTATGAATATACTATAGAATCAACTATATCAGAACATATTTTATGGCAACCGTTGACGGTTCTGGTACAAATAAAAGTAACGCTAGCAGATCACAAAACCTCTTAAACTAAATTATGTCCAGTTGGCAAAGACAAATGGCGGTTGATCACACGACTCTCGCGGACGAGAGGGGGTCGTAGAATAAAAAAAAACATTACTGATGTTTCTTGCGCCTATTCTTAGTTTTGTCGGCGTTTCTTAATACTTCAGCGTAAGAGAGTTCGAGTTTCCTCAATTTATGTATCTCCTGGGATGCAGTGCTTTGTTTAACTTCCCAGGAATCGGTCTCGGAATTCCATCCTTGATAGACCTTACACGTCCGGCCGCTTGCGCTGGGGGTTGGCGAGTTCAAATTTCTGTTGTAAAACTGAAGAGTCGATCCATTCCATTCGGCTTCAGATGTTTTTACGAGAGGGCTTATTTCGATAGGTCTGTAGTCTCTTCTCTTCTTGTTCGATGATTTCTGATAGACGATCTTGGGCGGTGAAGGGAACACAGGAGAATCAGCCCCCTGTCGTTCTTGGCTGTGCTTGCGGTTGCGATGTCTGGACTTCTTTCTAGTAGCTGCGATGTATTCCAGTGGTTGACGCACCAGTGGTGTTAAGACTTTCTCTTTCTCTTCTTCCTTTTGTTTGTTATTTTCTTCCTCTTTTGGTTTCTCATCGGTGCTCTCTACTACTGGTTGGCCCTCTTTGTTGTTCACCACTTTATTATCTTTGATCTCTTGCTTTTCTTGCTTTTCTTGCTTTTCTTGCTTTTTGATAGGTTCCGGAAGTGGTTGATCCTTTTCTTTTAACGTAGGTGTCTCCGGGGCAGTGATGTCAGATACTGGAATCGATTGTTCAGACATTACAGACGACAAAACGCTCTGTGTATCATCAGTGAAATTGCCAGGAGGTTCCTCCGTGGCGGGAGTCACTGGTGGCACTTTTCCAGTGGTCGTATCATCTAACAGCGGTAGTTGTTCTCCATCGTCCTTATTTTCGGCGGCCTTTTTCAATATTGTGAATATTTCTTTGAATAATACGCGATATTCCGGCCTATTACGGAAACGACTGTCCATAGGACTGACGTCATCATAAATGCTGAAACGGTAGTCTTCACCATCGGCGATTGTGCACAAAAAGGACCCAGGTCTCTCGCGTTCTGTTTGAGTGGCTTTGTTGCTCGTTTCGTCTGAAAAGCCCGAGCTTGATGTTTCGGCTTCAGAGAAGTCTGGCGTTTGGATAATCTTCTTACGCGATGTAGATTCGGCTTTCTTCTGTTGACAATTTTCTTTATGAGCGTCCTCGCCGTGTCCGCTCTCTTCATCTGTATCTTTCACGCTGAATTGGCTGTAATCGCCAGATGTTTGCAATTCGTCCTGAAGCGAGACAGGTCCGGATTGCGTTTGTGCGCCAGGTAACGAATTCGGCTTATTTTTTCTTATATTTTTTACTTGCGACAGTTGAACCTCGAGCAGAGCTTCATACTTTTGCACCAGCTCCCTGTAAGGGTTATCGTGGCCATCTTCCTTGTTGGCCCATATACCTTGCAGTAGCTTTTCCTTTGCATTCTGTAAAGAGATTACGATTTGAGACTTTATAACGCTTTTTGACGGTTCTATTGATTTTACATTCACAAACGGGACTAATTATAATGATGTTATAGTTTTTAATAACATAGGTTATGACGACAGTTATAAAAAATGTGATGAAAGTTGTTATTTAAATAGTAATTAGTTTAAAAAAAGTTATGTCATGGATATAAAAGATAGGTTTTTAAATTTGAATAAAATATATTGCCTTTTAATGTATTCGTGAAAAGAGCGAATTTTACCTAGACTATCTACTTATAATTAAGTGATATATGAACTATTTAGTTACAATGTCAAAAATACACCCATTACTCCACCATTATTGTTAAAAATCGATTTAGCTGACACAAACACACGTTAATGAGATATGCACACAATATTATTTGCTAGATTAGTAATTACTTATCATCAACATATAAAATGAACTATTAGTAAATCGTTAGCTGTGTTGTTGAAACAAAACGAGAACTTGAAAACAACTAACGAATAACGCCACACTAAACACGTTAGATGAACAGAATACCATCACCAATGACTAATTAGCGTGCATTCTCTTAGTCTAATAACGTGTCAGTAATGGACGTACCTTCAACTACATGCGATATATCCAAAGAAAACTACTGCAAATGCGCTTCATAATGCATATGCAAAGCGTGATCAACAACATCAGGGGCAGTTCGAATAGTTTTGTCGCCTAGAAACGATCAAAACATTCTTATGAGATTTCGGTACGGGATATACCAACCGCTGCTCTCTGGTTGGTTGGAGTTTAAAATAATAAACGCCTTAAATATATGATTCTTGGCTGTTCCTGATGGAAGGACCTTATGCCGATATTTTTATTGTTTAGTGGTTAGTAAAATTAATGCTGCACATTTTGGCGGAATTGTGAGTTAATATAGTTTAGTAAAGTTTTCTAGTACAAAGAGCTAAGACATAAAATCTAATGTTAAAATACAGAATTGGCAAGAGAAGGAAGCGTAGTAAATAGAAAGTAAAGTTGCAGTGAGAAATATTATACGTACGTCAAATTTGACAAGCTTGCTTGTGACGTGGTCGTCCCGAGGACTTTGCTGGCCAGGAGTGAGGATGATAGAACTGATAGCGCTTCTGTCGTCGTCGTCTCCATCCAGTATCGAGGACATATCGTCACGCTCCATTCCCCTTAGACATCGCACGCAGAGTTGGCCTTGTCTAAAATGTTCAATATGAAATCATTGATTATTATTTATAATTATAATTTTACACAAAATATTGATTTAACACTTAGCGGTAAATGCTTTTTCGGGATCTCGGTAATAAAATAAAGTAAACATAAAATACTAAAGGTAATAAACCTACATACATTTTTTTATTTTTTCTAATATAATTTCATAATATAATTTAAAAATGAAAAATATAATATAACACACCTGACTTCTTCAAGGATTGAGAACTCCTCGTGCATAGATTTTGGCTCATCATCTCGTTGATGCCAATTTCTAAGCTGTTCCTGCAGTCTATTGTTCTCTTGTATTACCGATGCTAGCTGTTCTTCGAGTTCTATCACCCTTCTTTGTTCTTGAGCGAAGAGTACTTTGTTCTCTCTCAGTTCATCGCTTAGCCTCAGCAAGTCCTCATCCTCTTTTGTCAATGCAGGGAGAGGTGCCACCGACTTCTGTGGTGTGATGTTGATGTTTTTATTGTTAGGCGTCGTAGAATTCGTAGGCTTTAGTTCTTTTTCTTTGGGTTTATCGCTCTCTGGTTTCCGCTCTGCTCGCCGTCGAACGATCTCTAATTGCGCATTCAGATCGTCCACAGTCTTTTGAAACTCCTCGCACTTGTTTTCCAAACCTTCGATGTTACTGCATAAACTGGAATGTGAACAATTTATTATGTAAGGGTGAATGTTTTTTAAATTTATGAATGAGAATAAAAAAAATGTGCAATAATGTTATAAACAGAAAACTTTATTATGACGTCGATGTTTGTTGTTGTACCTACGAATTATCACTAATTGTGACAGTAATTGGTACATGGGAAGCAGTGTAATTTAACAACAAAGATGGAAAAGAAACATGATGAGCAGTAAATTCAAAAGATGACAAGTGTTATTTGTTACGGTAATGAACTCACGTCTTAATGTGTTTCTTGTCGGCGGCATGGTCGACTGCGAGCCTGTGATTCGCGCGTTCGAGCTCTTGAATGCTCACCTCTAGCTGTTCGTAGATTCTCAGTCTTGAGTCGTTTACTTCACGCAATGCTACTGTTTGCTTTGTTAAGTACTGGAATAAGTAGATAATATTTTATGTTAATAATCTTATTAATTAAGTTAAAATTATGTAATTATTTTTTTTTAATTCATACTTCGATTTCTTGTGCTTGGTCTTCGATGACATTTTGGTGTTGACGCAATGCAGTTTCTAATTCCTTATTCCGTTCCAAGAGTGTCTTTCCGAGTTCTGCCGCAAGCTGCAAATCTAAAACAAAATTGGCTTGTTAGGTCTATGCATAAATCTAAGGAAAGTAGTAAATTATGCAAACGTTGTGAGAGCAATGCGGACGTGGTGACGGATGATATTGACGTTGCAATTATCTGATCGGATGCTATCACGTCGCAGGTAGGCCGCCGCGGGCGATAATGCGAAGAGAGATTATTGAATTCTGAGTAAACTATCCAAGCATTATATTTCCGAGATTATTTATTCATAATTATTGCTTATATATTCATAAAGTTTTGATTATGAACTCATAATTTTAATATCCTATACATAATATAATAATTAAAACACAATTTACGCATATATAGAACATGTCTTGTTATTTGTTACTACAGAGTATGTTATAATCAATTCAAGGTGAAAATTTCTTGTTTATTCTGTAATCATAGTAACAAGTAATCACGTTCGTGGTCGAAAAGCGGTCATAAAAGCGCCGGTCGGTTGCGCCAGCGATCGTCGAGATGAGGAATGGATAATAACCACAGCTTGGCGCAACGCAACGTACCGCCATACAGTCGTGTTCTACTTCGGCTACATAGTAATGTATGACAGATTGCCACCTTGTCTTTTAACACAAAGACCGACAAGGCGGCCACGGTACAAGCGTGAAAGGCAAGTACAACGAAGTATATACCTACCAACCTTGTAGAAGAGTTAAACTGTAAATTTCAAGTTTAGTAATAAGGTCGAGAAGTACTGAAACAAAGCTGCTCGATTTATTCGACCGTAAATGGAATTCACAAATACCTCCTTTGATCTTGAAAATGATAGGAAATTGCATTTTTTTTAATTGCGTCTATGTTAAATCCCTTATAAGTCATCCATTTTCATACCTTTTGAACAATTAATACGTTCTTAATTAATTATAATTGTTGATAACAACAGTATACCTTTATATAATGACGTAAAGTTATATTATTGCCTAGAGTAGGACTTTGCAAATTTTGAAAAAATCAACGGAAAGGCAGTGGTAGCCCAGTGGTAACGCGCTCGCTTGGGAAACCGAGTGAAGCGGGTTTAAATCCCGGTTCTCGCACCTCTGTTATTTTCATGTGCGAATTATTTCTAACATGATTAACACTTGTCTTACGGTGAAGGAAAAACATAGTGAGGAAACCTGCATGTCTGAGAGAACCTAGCAAGTTTTCGAAAGACATGTAAAGTCTAGCAACCCGCACTTGGCCAGCGTTCAATACGAGGGGGATCAGGCCACTATGGCCTGACCCCCCTCGTATTGAAGGGAGGCCCGTGCTCAGCAGTGGGACGTTAAAAAGGCCTGAATACAACGTTCTTTGCCAGTTTAATTAGAACCGTTAGTGGTTAATGATGTGATATAAACTAGTATTTTCATGTACATAACACCAACTGCAGCTGCCATTCATCTACGGTTTATTAAATAGTAAACATAAATGAAACAAATTATAAAATTACGTAAATCAACATTAGTGAGTTTAATGAACCTAATTTACTTGCTTCAGTAATAGAAAGAAGTACCTATCTACAAGTTATATATGTATGTAAAAATAACTATGTGTAATTAATTACGTTATGAAATGTTCTAAATATAATAGAGCTTCGCTTATGTCTGATTATTTCCTACTAGTTTAAATATTTAAAAATACATTATTAAATATTTATGTTAGTGAAAACAGATGTAGACTAAGGATTTACTCGATTTTAATACGCTATATATGAATGTAATGTTCTCCTGACGGATTGTTACAGATCAGGCAAAGCACCGACGGCTTAACGTGCTCTCTGAGGCACGCGGAACGTAATACCGCCAATTCTTCAACTCCTAATTCCTCTAACTGCGAAGTTCTTAACAGAAAAACTCAATAGCTTGACCCGACCTGGGACTTGAACTCAGGACCTCCGGATCTGCAAGCAATAGGCATACATGGTAGCCACTACACTAACGAGGTATACTACTGTACTAAACCTCATATGCCGCTCAAAACTTATTCTTTCCTGAGATCTATTGTAAGTTGTTATCATACTTACGAATAGTCGTCAACGTCAGTCGTCATGACATGAAACTTTCTCGCGATGGCATTCAAGCTCCAAGTTATCTATTATTATATTTAAATTGTGCTTTTGTATCCAGTATCTATTGTGTATATATTTGGATTATATTTTTTCACGATACATAATTTCCTTTTATGCTTTAACCACTTTAGTTCTTTAAAAATAACTCATTATATTTTAAAATATTTTTATTTTTTTATCATTTTTATATGTATTAATAATATCTATGTTCTTTAAAAAAAGTTTCGATAATTGTATCTAAATGATATGTTTTCATCATGGTTTTCATATTCTAAGGCAAAGTTGATGACAACAGTATCAAACAAGTTATATTATTTAGTATAAATATTTATACTAATGATTTTGTAATAAATCAACATCCTTTTATCTTTCTGAGCTGAGGCACAGGAGACAATGGCCTTTTCCTATATGTACTACAATTGGTCGACTATATTGTTGTGCCGTATGTTTTACTTATAGAGATTTTTCTTTTCTACATTTATGTTGCAATGATATTGGTATCGAAATCTTGGACAATTTTACAATTTGTTTAATGCATTTGTGGATAAATAACTTTGTTATGTAATATTAGCAATAGAGATTGGTTAAATTTACTTTACTTTTTATTCGTCAAAGGAAATGGAGAATTTTAATTTCTGTTGCAGATTATTTAACTTTGACAGGATGTTTAAATCATAGTTATAAAATTGTAATTTACAATATTTGGTGACATTCTTCTTAATAGATAAGATTTTAGATTTTAAAGTGTTAGTTTTAAAGGCTTGGGAATCTTAGCCAACGAATATTGTTTTCAACCAAATAAATTATGGATTATAAACACCATCGTAGATATTTTGTAAAATGCAAAACAGAAAATTATATTATGAGACGTTCGGAATTCAACGACTAAAAAGTTAGGTACGACGGCCAATCTCACTGCCGCTAATCACAGGACAACACCACCTGCTCTGAGGCACGAGAGAGAGAGGGTAATGGCCGTGTGTGATTTATAGTTTTTACTAAAACACCAGATTCAATAGATAGTAACTAAGACCTTATTAATTTCTAACAAGAATCGTACACTATTCAAAGTTATGAAAATTTGTTCATTCGTAGGGAATAGTTTGTAGATTGTATGTAGGGGATACTGAAGCAGTTTAATATGGAAAGTTACATTATCAATGAGAAACAAAGAGTACGTATTTGTTGTTGATAACATGTACCTAAGTGTAGTCACTACCAAATATTAGTATTATCAATGTGTATTGTGAGTGTGTTTGTTATTTCTTAATATTGTAACGGATCAATGGATATTACTGATATTTGGAATGGAAATAGCTTATGTGCTTCACTTATGCTACCTTTATCAAAATGCTTAAACAGCGAATAAAATTAGTTTTATTTTGTTCTGTTTCTTGTGCGATTTTAGTACTAATAGCTACTATATTTTTTTGATAGAAGCAGTAAATAATATTAGGTACTAGCATTGCCCGCGGCTCCGCCCGCGTTCAGACGACCAAAAACCAAATTCTTAGGTTTTACATATAAGTATACTCTTACATTGCAGTTTTTGTATTTTTTCTCAGAAATGAGTTATTTTCCCGCGATAAAAAGTATCCTATATGTTGACCCGGATAACCAGCTATCATCATACCAAATTATACCAAAATCCGTCTACATTTTTCTTATCAGAGGCTCAGACGCCCTCGCTCTTGGTACTTTTCTCTTGATCTGACCATAATGATTGCTACACGTCAAATGCAATAAAAAAGACAGCAAATGCTCTAATAAGTAAAAATAATTAGCGTAGTTAGTAAAATAATTGGGGCCGCCTATTAACTACAACTAACCAATTAAGTATAGTGTTAATTAATTCGTCTTTCTTGTTCTATGTACAGTAATAAAAAATATTATTTAACCGACATTACGATTATTATCTATTGGATTAAAATATTCGTTGTAATTACTTTGTTTGTGATAATACAGAGAATACGAAAACTGCGAATATAGTTTTGGCTTTATCAATAACATATTGCGACTTACTCTCACTTTGCTAGCGTACATTTTAATTTTTTGAGCGGAACCCTAATTCTTTTTCTAAAATAAAAGTAGCATAACTTGCGCGTGAAAGTCCCGTCAAAATTAGTCCAGCCTTTTCGGAGATTAGCCGGAACAAACAGACAGACAAACATTTTAAAAATTGTGTTTTTTTTTATAAGAAAAAATAATTTTTAAAACGTTTGTACTCATGCACCATATATAATTTTATATGAATTTAGTAAAAATATGTTATTTTAGACACTTCAATTTTATTTATCTGTATAGATGATCAATCTTCTCACATTATGCCCATAAAATATTTTTTTATCTGTTGTAAGTTTTTGCGTCACTCCAATATGGTCGGTTAAACATAATTTTCCGTTGTAACCTCGAGATTAATATAAATTGTAAGCATCTACATACATAGGTAAGTACATAATGAAACTAAAGAAGTTAACATCTTTTTTTAAAAGTAGGTACAGCTTGTTTTTAAATTATGCTATTTTATTTCAGTCAATCTATAGTCTATACTAATATTATAGAGGTAAAGTTTGTGAGTTTGTGACGTTGTAGGGGGTAATCTCTGGATCTACTGAACCAATTTAGATGAAATCTGGTAAGAATATAGTTTGAGACCTTGGGAAGGACATAGGACTTTTTATCCCGGAAATCATCCCATAAGGGGGTGAAAATGGGGATGAAAGTTTGTATGGGGAACCCGAGCGAAGCGAGGGCGAGTCGTTAGTTTCTTATTTTAAATTATTTGTATCGGCTACAATCGTTCATAAATAAGACTGTTATTATTATAGAACTACGAGGTGTTTAATATTTATAATGTAGAATTCGTAGTAACAGTTTTTCAGTGTAAACTTAAAACCGGTTTAAGTATTAAGTGGATTGTAGCAGAAATCATGACTCTTTGTTTATAAGGTAGTATATTAAATCAGCGAATATATGTATATAAGTTGTTTTTCTTATAATTTCATTGTACATTTTATGTTTTTGTTTGCTAGTTATACACACTTAAATTTAAATTATAAAATATCTAAACAAAAAAACGGTCTAAACTAAACCTTGTAATGTTCATTATCTCGTATTTGTGCGAGCATATAATTAGGGTACATAATAATATCATAATAAAAGAACCTTTGGATTGTCGATACAAATTCATGACTCTAATTAACAACATTTGCATGTATGATGTAAATTTTGATAAGGTGAACCAACAGTTAAAAATTTACGTAAAATGAAATGGCCAATAAAATATAAAAGTAAGTATAACGTGGTAATTGCTTTATTCAAAACTTCTCAACATAAATAAATCTATTATGTTTTGTGAAATAACTGTGGCTACTGTAACTGAGCAAATATTTAATGGGCCGTAGTTTTATAATTATTATATACTTTTACAGCTTTGCATATACTCGTACTTATACGAGATTGTGTAAGAATTTTAAGGAAATGAACTAGAAGGTTAAATAAAATTGTTTTAGATAGTGCAAGTGAATAAATGTAATTACGTTAGTAGAGAGTACTGCGTGGAGATAAGTGCTGAGGGTGAAAACATACAATCACTAAACAATGGCATAATTATCGATATAATATATAGATAACGGGAGTGTCGTCGTCAGAACGATAGATAATTGTTGCATTGGCTTATCTATATAGGTAGGTATGTTATGTTGTATTTTTATATTTTGAATTTCAAGATTTTATATAATATTATAGACGGATGAAATGTTTAACATTCACCACTGCAACGCAATTAGGTATATGTCACTTTTTTCTAGAGACTGATAAGAAAAAATCCTATGACACAAATCACTATGTTGTCCAAATTATTTTGAAAGTAATCTAGCTAGAAATATTTATTCCTCACGAAGTATGAGTAAAAAAACTTTATTGATAATATTAATCATTGCAAGTACAAATGTTAGATCGAGTGTATCGTAGAATGTTAATTTCCACGATTTAAGTTAGAGATGCCTATTGCCGATTACGAATAATTTGTCCAGCGAACGCGACGGCTGCAGCGCCCCTCTCTTTTATGCAACACTAACCTTCGGTTCCTTGCAGACATTCCAGCTCGACGGTATAATCCCAGAGATCCAAAGAGTTTAATCCGTTCAGCTCCCAGGAGTTGAAGGAATCGCATTGCTCATTTTCCTCAGTCATTCTGCCATCAGGCACTTAACGTTCGAAGGTCACTCACGGCGAGATTATGTATTCGCGGTTGTCATAATTTTTCATTGAAATCAGTAGAATCAGCGCGCCACCGACGTAACCACTGTGGCGGCGCAGCACGAACTGAGCGGCCGACCGAGCAAATACCACGGCAATTAAGTTCGACGCGCCATCGCCTGTCCTCCCCAATCTTTTCAATCTCATTTCGTGTATACAATGATTAGCTTAGATAACAAAAAAATCTTTCGAAAATGTGACTGATTTCTGTATAAGCTTTGGATGCTTACATGGGTAATAATTCCGATGGGTTCTTAATTGGTGAATTTTAATTTTCACGAGGAATTTTTTCCTCTCACTTAGTTTTACAAACACTTTTGTGTTTGTAAAACTAAGTGAGAGAATGAAAGTTTATTTTTGATGAGAATAAGACGGCAACGATTCTTAAGAATGAATTTTTAGAGAACAAAATCTTGGTAATTGACGAAGCAAGGTACGTAACGACAAATTGTAAAACTTTTCAAAATCAAATTGACAATTACGATCTCTTAATGTTATAACTACTAAGAATAAAATTTGATGTGCCTAACTGGAGAAAGTGCACTAATCAATCAAACATTTGGCACGGTAATACGCTATGTCAAAAACTTACCTATAAGATCACGAAGAAAGCATTCGATTATAATCGCTACAGTTGCTTTCTCACGCTTCATGGACCACGGCTATCTGATATCAAATCTGTTTTAGCATAAAATTACAACTGACCAAGAATTATGTCTTATATAATAACTAATCTGCATGCAAATACAATACGTATCTTAAATCTCATTACTTTCTTAAAATTCATATTAGATTGGTTCTTAAAATTTGAGTTTATTACGGTGAAAAAATAGAGTTTAAACGGCAAATATCGCAGAGAAAATAATTCTAATATAGAAATTGTACAGTTTATTTTTTTAGTTTGTAATAAAACCGTTTGATTAACCCATACCTACTAAACATCAGGAATATTTCCGAAATTTTCCAAAGGATAAGTTTAATAATAGAAATAATATATTTTTTGGGAGTTTGGTTATAAATAAAATTTTAAATGGAAACCGTTGGTATTGATAAAAATAAAAAGTCGGCATATTGATTAAGTTGGTGCGCTATAGTGACTCTACCCGGAAGTAGGCTATTATTAAGTCGGTCGTAGACCTTTTACAGTAATTATTTTTTGTCTTTATTATATTTATAATATTCATTATATTATAGGGGTTATTAAAACACATTGAAGTTTTTGTTATGTATCTTCGAAATATTTTTCCTTTATTCTTGTGCCATAGATAGAGACGTCCTACCTTCTATTACGCGGTCCTAACGTGGGACTTAGTCTCAACTTATGACCATATTGCACCAAACTAAATGTGTATATTGATTTTGAAAAGGAGTTTAAGGGTTAAATGTGTGATCTGCGTAAATACCACATGATCATGGATACGCTGTCATAAAAAGTAGCCTACGTCACTATCCGGCTTAAAACTACATTAAATCACGTTGATCTGCTGCTTCGATGCTACGCAAAAGAAGGACAAATTAAAACGCATTATAATATTACTAAGGATTTAAAATGCAGATTAAGGTATCATATTGTATTAAAAAGTTTTTTACTCTTTCTGCTCTTTTTAATGGCTTCGATTTTTGTATAGAAATGGGCATCTATTAGCAGATGCATTTAAAAAATCAAAATTTTCAAATCAATAATCGCAAATTAATGGAGATAAATATAAATTTGTTGTTTACGAATAATTATTTATCGATTTGCTTATCATAACATCGCTCTACTAATTGGTTACCAATAAATGAGCCATTTGGACCACTAGAGCACCTATTTCAGACAACAATATTTTAAAAACAACTATTTTAATTTAAAACAAGTGATTATTTCCTGTATTGTTATTAGGTACAAAATTATAGGAACAGACAAACTGACATTCCAATAATTTTTACATCTATACTGAAGAAGTAGTAAGAAATAAGAATAACTCTTAAAAGGTATTACAATAAAAAATATTTTTTAGTAAAGCTTGTTATTTATCTAGAACATTTTTAATTAAATAAATCAGTGTGGTAATGTCTGCGAGGTCCTTGACATGAGTTGCGCTATTACTCATTGCTAAGATTTCAATACAGCGAACAACGGTAAATTATTTTGAAGCTTATTATTTAAAACATCAAAAACATATTTAAAAAATGTAAGAGTACAAAAAGTTCAATCGATTTTCTCTTTTAAAGTAGAACCGAAGTTTCAATTAAAGGTGCCGTTCGGAATCTAGGTCCTTATTTACATGCAACAAGAAAACAGTAGGAAGTTTAACATTTAAGTATAAAACTTACTACGTGGTATTAACAAAGGTTAGCGACCGCTCGAGGTCCACGCGTTAATTACGACATATAAAATGTGTAAGCTTCTAAAGTATCACATTTACAGTGTACACGTAACGTCTACAGTCACTAGATAGCATAACAACATTTCGCTGGTGCCTTAGACCTGTTCGACGTACAATGCATGACGAATGACGATATAATGTGCAAGTTACAACTTAATATGTAAATTCGAATTTAAAAGAAACAAGATTTTTCCAAAATTATAGACGCAGTTGTCATTAAGATATTAACTCTAATAATTTGTTATGCAATTAACTTCAAATTATCTAGTTTTTGGTTTTATTCCTTCAGATCATTTTTATAGAATCACGATAATAAGATGCAATTTTCAAGCTTTATGCGCGCAAAAGGTATGTAAGGAAGTCATTAAACTTAATATATTTAATTTATTTATTTATTTTATTAGGATAACCAACAAAAGTTACATTAAGACATTCGTGATTACATTTATAAATGAAAGATAAATGTTCTTTTTTTTACACCATGCAATAAATTAAAAACAAAACATCATTTGTTCCTAAAATATGTTATTCAGTTTATAATAAGTCATATATAATCAAATTAATAAAAATCACAATAAATACGTTTAGTAAAATATAAAAAGTATAATCTATGATAAAGTGTAGGTACGTGAGAAGATGCTATAAGATTCATTAAAAAAGTTACATATTTTCAACCGACTTCAAAAAGGAGGAGGTTCTCAATTCGACTGTATGTTTTTTTTTTTATGTTTGTTACCTCAGAACTCCGTCATTTATTAACCGATTTGGACAATTTTTATTTTGTTTGAAAGGGTATACTTCCAGATTGGTCCCATTTAAATTTCAAAATAAAATACCACCCCTAAGGGTGGAAAAATAGCTAATTATGAATTTAACCTACTTCTAATTGTCATATTCACTTGAAACTTTGCAAGTATTTCTATTTCCGTTGATAGTACAGTGGTTCGGTGTTGTTGACCTGATCTGATGGCAAGGCCAGAAGGTGGATAGGTGGAACTCTTCAACGGCTAATAGTAGATACTTTGAGTTTGGGCTTATTTTGTTTGATTTGACAAGCCTAACACGTTAGATTCCTTACTTTGCTACTACTGTCTACACTAAAAAGGGAAAAATAAAAACTTTTTAACAAAAAAATAAAAACCGACTTCAAAAAAAGCACTAAAAAGTAAAAAATAACTGATTGGTAGTTTTCATTTACTATACATACCTAATCAAATATTTTCGAAGTCGGTGTGCTTTGGCTAAGTAATTAAAGCCTACCTATTAAATACATACCTAATCAAATATTTTCGAAATCGGTGCCAGCCCATACAAAGCAAAGCACACCGCCTTCGAAAATATTTGATTAGGTATGTATAGTAAATGAAAACTACCAATCAGTTATTTTTTACTTTTTAGTGCTTTTTTTGAAGTCGGTTTTTATATTCTTAAACTCAGCTCGAGTTATGACTTATTATACCTATACAGCTCTCTTATTGTTTTGGAAAGATAATTATAGATTGATACGAGTCGTGGTATAGGTGAGTTTTTGCCTAACTGAATTCTAAGCATAAATTTTAAAAAGATCACACTTATCGAGAGGGTATTTAATCATAATATATAATTAAAGTTTATTAAAATAATACGTTAATCCAACAAATAATATTAAATGTACTAAACTTATCCATTAGATTCTAATGCAGAAGAAGCCGCAAGAGATCTTATGAACTTTACAGTGGTTGATTGTTATTTCATGCGCGTAATCAAAACAGCCGCTAAGTATATTGTGTATGTTGCCTCACGTATATAAAACCTTTGTTTTATCGTTTACTATAACAGATAATATACTCGTATAATATGGATGTACACAAAAAAGTTTTTATCTACCCAGTAGCGTGATTTTTATTAGGGTTCTATAGATAAAAGTCAAAAACGTCGTTACGAATATCAAAAGTCATCTGAGTGATATACTCAGAGATTGTAATTATTAATTAAGATCCTATGTTATTGATAAATATATAACACAACATAATGTTAATAATATAATTTTAAAAAAGTTGATATTTGTACCTACGGAATCCTCCATATTATGAATGTTTGTCTGAATTGTTACTTGCATTTAGAATCGCACCGAAATACAAACTATGCGCCATAAAATACTTGACTATTTTTTAAGCGACTTCCAAAAACGAGGAGGTTCTCAATTCGTCGGAATCTTTTTTTTATGTATGTTCACCGATTACTCAAAGACGCCTGAACCGATTTGGAAAATTTTGTTTGAAAGGGTATACTTTCCAGGTGGTCCCATATAAATTTTACAGAAATCGGTCGAGCCGTTTTAAAAAAAATCAACAATAAATATTTTTTTTAAACAAATTGTTTAATCGAATATGTTATTAAAAAGTTTCTTCCTACAAATTACCTGCTTATTACGTCTACACTAAAAATATAAAAATAATTTTTTTTTAATAAAAAATAAAACCGACTTCCACGCACTAAAATGTAAAAAATAACTAAACGGGGGTTTTCATTAAGAATAGATACCTAATCAGATACTTTCGAAGTCGGTGCCAGCCGTTAGTTATT